ACCATTACACTGAAGAGCAGTGTGGCCTCTTTTAGACCTTTGATTCCTGTAGAACTTTTTAGGCCCCTGGTGAGTTCCCACAGTCCCCAGCAAACTGTTCCTCTCTGTTCTTTGTTTCCAGGGTCCTACTCACCCTGCCCCCAGCCATTGCTGCCCGAATCCCAAATTGCTGTAACAATTCTTTTTGGGAGTTTAAAAACATCAGGTTTGACAGGTAATAGAAACAAGGAATTGCAGAGTAGTTTATCTTTCTTTCCTATTTTTTTGATTTTTGATAGCCCTGGCTATCCTGGAACTCACTCTATCTATAGACTAGGCTGGCCTCAAACTCCAAGATCTACCTGATTCTGCCTCTGGAGGGCTGGGATTAAAAGCATGCACCACCATGCCCAGTAAAAGTTAAAAAATATATATACATACATACATACATACATACATACATTTAAAGACAGGAGAGAAATATATCACAGTGAGATGGGTGATCAGAGCAAAAGTATTGCAAGGTCTTTAGGGTTTGACAACAGACTAGTAATACATGTAATAGCCTGTGCCAAGCATTTAATAAAAAAAAGTCATAAGCCGGGCATAGTGGTACATATCTTTCATTGTAACACTTGGAAGGCAAAGGCAGGCAGATCTCTGAGTTTGAGACCAGCCTGATCTATAGAGCAAGTTTCAGGACAGCTAGGGTTACACAGATAAACCCTGGTTTGGAAAAAAAAAAAAAAAAAACATTATTTTGCTAATTTTCACTGGCACAATTCCAGAAAGCAAGTATGGAAATAAAATACAACATTGCAGGTTCAAAGATGGAGGTATGTAATTTTATAGTAAATTAAACATACATTGATATGTTGTAGTTAAGAGAGATTCTTCATTCAATGTGAAGGTGTGAACAGCAGACATTTTTGTTCTGTCAGATGAGCAAAACCTAAACTCAGCCACAGCCTATGCTGAAAGAACTAGAGACACAGTTGTTTGTTTGTTTATTGAGACAGGGTCTACATAGTCCTGGCATTTGCTGTGTACACGACTGGCCTTGAAAATCAGAGATCCTCCACATTTTTCTTGGCTTAATTTAGAAAAATTCAAAGGATGCCATCATATAGTAAGAATAATGAAATGGAAGAGGGTTTGGTGAGATAAACCTATAATCTCAACACCTGGGATGTAGCAGAAGCTAAATTAGTGAAGGTCAGCCTAGGCTATTTGAGACTCTTCCAGAAAAAATGTTGGGATGAATTTTATTGCATGTAATTTGGTCATTCACCTCATTAGTTCTTCTAGCACATCTAGATACTGTGAGGTTTACAATGAAACGTTAGCGAAAGGGCCTCAGCCTCCTTGGGAAGTACTCCAGTAGTCAACTGCTGTAGGCCAGTGATGAATGTGGACAACTCTCCACTATTCTGAAGGGACTTCTGTAGCGCCCGCGCTACCATCTCTTCCATGAATCAGGTGAAGGCCTAGAGATTGAAATAAAGACAAGACAGCGGGTCATTCGTTCAATGGCAATGTTGGAACGCCAAATGCCAAATGCCGTTTATTGAGGGGTAAGAACGGGCTTAAATACCGACTTATTGCACAATGGAAAATTACAGGAATTTTTAGGCTTAGCTCCTCTCTGTGTTGTCATGAGGTGTGTGTTACGAGATATGTTGTCACGGGAAGAATACCAACAAAAGCCTTGGGGCAAAGAGTTCTGGCCAACAGCTTCAGGCTAGCTCAAGGTGCCTCAGGGGTCCATGCAGGGCCCTACAGGTCCCCCTTTCTTTTAATATAAACTAACACCTGCCTTAGGTGGCAGAGGATGTCAGCATAATTCCTTACCTGTCATTGGAGAGGTCACCCAGGCCCGTAACCTTCCTGTCTTAGGTTGGATATTTGCCCCCTTTGCCTTACCCGTCACTGGTGAATAGTTTGTCAGCCACATGTGGGCAGAGGCATTTTCTCTTGAGCCAAAGACAGTATCTGTCTTGTTAGAAAGTTGGCCTGGGCCTGTCTAATGCTGTGGCAAAGTAGCACCAAGTGCAAGGGCTACAAACCCCAATGTTCTGCCCACAAGTTGAAGTCCTTGTAAAAGGCCTTCTGCATTGGCAAGTGGCACTCAGGTTTCATTGATGTTAATGATCTTCATGGTTAAAGCATGTGTATAATTTAAAAACTGATCACTCCAGGATTTCTGAAGAAAAATGATGCATTAACACAGATATGTGTGAAAGACAGAGAACAAGAAGCCATATGAGCTTCTCACAAAAATTCAAGTGTTCCTATAGGAGGTTACTTTGTAAATTTAGTTTTAAAATGCCAATTTGTACTAGATAATCAAGTGTGCTTTGGGTAGCTAAGGCTTAAGCCAAGTCACCTGCTAGTTGATTCACTGTGCTGGCAGTATTTACAGATTGGGAAAGGGCTACAGTAGAAACTGTTGCTTCAGTGGTGAAGGCCGCACTGGCAGTGGTGATCCCGAAATCTCCTTTCCTCTCTGCTGCACACCTGGGGTACGTGGCCCACGACAGCTGTTACAGCCAGCAGACCTGCTGAGAACAATTGAAACTTTCTCCAAAATTAGTAGCATTGGTTACAACAAAAGAATGAGATGAAGGTGAAAGTCTTGTCCTTTGGATCAAAGTGTAAATTTATAGCTGCTTGATCCAAACTATAATTAATGGTCAGGAAATTTTTTGAAATTTGCCTCTCTATAGCAAATAGTCACCCCCACTCATCATGGCTCTACAGAGCTGCATCGAATCACTAGGGGTGCAATTTAACGCTGCGAAGGACTCAAAAATTGTCTGAGTAAAAGGAGCGTGAGCCCATAAACAGTGACAGCCTCTTTAAGCTGTTTTATATCCTTAAAATTTAATGGGCTGTGTTCCCTAACCCTGTTATCCTGAAGATCCACTGTCTCAATCACTGGAAACACCTGTCTTTCCTTTTTTAATGCTTCTACCTTGGTTATTAAATCTTTGACCTCTTCCTCTAACCCTTGAGGTGTAGAAGCTGTACTAAAGGAATCAGAATCACAAAAGGAGTTGTGCCGTGGCGGACGGCATATACACTCATCAGCTTCAGTTTCTGATTCCGAAGTATCCTCCTCACCAGTTACAGTAGGACTATCATCATGTAGTTGGGATCCCTCTTGTTCCCTGATAGGTTTCCAGATTCTAAATTTTGTATTTCCTCAAAAATCCTATTCATCTCTGCCAACTGTTCTTTTACTTTAACATTGTTGCTCAAGAGCACACTTTTAATTAGACGCCAAAGGGAAAGGGTGGCAATAGGGAAATTATCTTCTTTATAAGCCTTTTGGAGGTCTCTTTTTACCTGTTCCCAATCAGGGATGTTAAAGCCTCCAGACTGCATAAACCAGGGGCTATGTTCCTGTAGTATATCAAAAAATTCTTTAGCTGTCTTGGTTTTAATCTTGGTGCCCTGCCTTTTCAATAGGGCCACTAATTGCCCCCTGAGCTTTTCCTTACAGTTACTGGCACCCATCCTTCAATACACCCTCATTCACTTACTTTTGCCAGCCGGCCTTCGAGGGAGATCTCTTAGGTGATCCTTTCTTTCCCGATCTCGGTGGGACCTCCACTTGTAGCACCCGCGCTACCATCTCTTCCACAAATCGGGCGAAGGCCTAGAGATTGAAATAAAGACAAGACAGCGGGTCATTCGTTCAATGGCAAAGTCGGAATGCCAAATGCCAAATGCCGTTTATTGAGGGGCAAGAACGGGCTTAAATACCGACTTATAGCACAGTGGAAAATTACAGGAATTTTTTAGGCTTAGCTCCTCCCTGTGTTGTCACGAGGTATGTGTTGTCACGGGGTGTGTGTCACGAGGTGTGTGTCACGAGATGTGTTGTCAAGGGAAGAGTACCAACAAAAGCCTTGGGGCAAAGAGTTCTGGCCAACAGCTTCAGGCTAACTCAAGGCGCCTAAGGGGTCCATGCAGGGCCCTACAGACTTCCTCATTCCATGGGGATCTGACATGCCCTACTTTCCACAGGCAATGTGAATGGAGTAACTGTAGTGGGAAGCAAGAACGAAATGATAACACAATGAATTAATCCAGAGACCTTGGGCAGCGAACTAGTGATGGGTTCTTGGGTCAGAAATACATACAGAAATACCTGAGGAGGAAAGGGGTTATTATTACATCTCTAGGAAGTCAAGGCAGGAACTGAATCACAGACCATGGAGGAACTCTGCTTAGTGGCTCCAGAGTCGATGAAACGTTGAGTGCAAGATGGGTAGGAACAAAAAGGGCTGCCGGAATTGAGATGGTAAACAATTCTGAGAAATGTTCTAACATTAACCAATGTCTTCTTGAGGAAGCCAACGCCTAAAATAATCAGTAGTGTTTTGCCCAAAGATAAAGAGTTGCACTGCAAGCACAGATAGAGCCCAGGCTTCCAGCGTTGTTTCCACTACACGGGTGTGCAGGTAGAAAAAGCCTTAAAATCAGAAGGATATCTTGGCACTCCCTTCGCGATACTAAGAATTGAACACAGGGCCTCGACGCTTGCAAGATAAGTAGGTGCTCTTCCACAGAGATACGAGGTGGAGCCACCATCAGTCGTTGGCTCGAAGGCCACTGGTATATTCTGTTGGTTTGGGTCTCCTAAACGCTAGGGGCGTTGAGCATGTCCTCATCACCACGACTCATAAACACTCGAGGGGATGACACTGCTTGGAGGCGTCTGTAAGGAGCAGGTAAGGCAGAGAGAAGCATGGAGCGCGGGATCGAGTGATGTCACCGGAAGACTTCCGGGAGCGCGCCCTCGAGAACGCCCTGGCGCCCTGAGCCCCGCCCCTCAGTGTCCTCACGTAAGAAGTGAGTCACGCAGAGCCAGTGGCTGGTCCCGGAAGCAAAACCAGTAGGGCGGGCCGAGACGGCGGAAGGGCGGGCCCACGGCGCGGCGGCAGGGGGCGGGGCCGGGATGGTAACGGACAAACCCGGGAGCCGCGTTTCAGAGAGGGCCTCAGTGTGACCGCTGTTGCAGGCGCTTGCTCTGAGTTGTACTGCGGTCCACCTCTGCCATGATGATCCACGGCTTCCAGAGCAGCCACCAGGACTTCTCCTTCGGGCCTTGGAAGCTGACTGCGGCCAAGACCCACATCATGAAGTCTGCGGATGTGGAGAAGTGAGGCTGCGGGGCGGGGTCGGGCCGGGGTCGGGCCGGGCCGGGCTGGTGATTGAGCGGGTTCGGTGCAGCTTCACGCCGTTCTCGGGGCCGCAGGCTCTGTCCCTCTGATGCGACCGTTGATTGACACCTTTAGTAAATGGCCCTGTCCCCATCTCGCGACCTCTGCTTGCAGAAACTGTCGCTTCGCAGGGTTGAACTGAGCGCGACTGTTTTGGTGGACTTTGCCCTCGCCCCTCCTATCTGATATCCTACCTAAGCCTGAGCCGCCTTTCTGGGCGTGGATGACCTGTTTCCCTCGGGAGCAATGACAGAGATGGTATTTATGTTTAGCTTCTGGCCTTTGGGGTTGTGTGGTGGGCGCTTGAGATTCGGAACGTGAGTCATTAAGTCCCCAGACTTCATAGTTTATGAGACCGTTATGTTACTATGTGACTGTTTAGGATGAAGATATTTACCCGGAGCGATTTCAGTTTTTTTTTTGTTTTTTTTTTTGTTTTTGTTTTTTTTAACTTTTAGCAAGTCAGGTGCAGTGATAAGCACTTGTGATATGGAAGATGAAAGATAAAGTCCCGAGGAATTCATAGTTTCGTGAGAGACCGTTGTAATAGTGTGGCTGTTTAGAATGAAGACGTATATAGACTAGGCGGTTTGGGATGTGTGTGGGTCAATGCATCAGGGAAGAATTTTTGTTTGCTTTTTTCGAGGCAGAATTTTTCTGTGTCTAGCTCTGACTTTCGAACTCCCTGAGATCCACCTGCCTCTGCCTCCCAAACGCTGGGGTTAAAGGCATGCACCCCCCCTCCGCCTGGCCTGGGCAGAATCTTGATCAAGTCTGGGTGGACGTGGAAAGCCAAGAGTGAGCTCTGAAATGTTTGAGGGTGCCTGAACTGTATCTTGACAAAATTTTTTTTGGGGGGGTGCAGCCTGGCAGAGTATGTTTGGAGAATTGCCTCTCATGTCATTGGAGAGTAAATTCTCTGTTGTACTAAGGAGTTTTGAATTTATCTGATAACCACCCGATGTAGTTTTACTCTTGTGTCTGAAATGTTTCTTGGAGGTGTTTTTAGAAGATGGATTGGATGCTGGAGGGCTGGAAAGGAGGCCAGGAAACAGCAAAGAGACATTGGAGGAGCTAAGATTAGGTGCTAAAGTTTGATGGCCAATTGATGGATAGGCTATGATAGCAGAATCCTATTTAGAGCTTTAAAATTTACATATGTAAAAGAATACTTGGTTTTTAACATAAGTTGTTTCAAACTTTTAAATTCAGAATTTAAATTCAGACTGCATTTCTTTGCCTGGTACCTGAAAAGAGAGGGCCTGGATCCTTTGGAACTGGAGTTATGGACAGTGTAAGCCTCCCTGGTGCTGGGAACTGAACCCAGTCCTCTGCAAGAACAGCTGTACACTAGCCCTAGTACCTTCTTTCTAGCCCACAAATTCAGAATATCTTAAACAAGACAGAACACCTCGTTTCTACATCACCCTTCACCTGTAACAAGTAGACGTCACAATAGAGCTGTAGGAAAATGGGCATCACCTGTGATAAAGCCGGAAGATAGAACATTTGGAGCAGCTTACCTACGTATTGGCAATTCTTTCACATATGTAACTTGAGTATTTTGTAGGACTGCTAGATTTTTTTCAGAAAAATTGAGTAAAATTCATGGAATTACATTCATTATTTCATATTTGGCATAATTCAAGAAGTAGTTAAAAACCTGTATTTTACAGAATCTTCCTATGGCTACTGGAAGACCCACAGAGCATGGACCTTCACGCTCCCACACAGGAAAGGTGACTCCCCAAATCACTCACGAGAAGTGGTCTCCATGCAAATAGCATGTGGAATTTTTATTCCAAGTGCACTGGGGTCCACAGTCATCGGACTGAGGACCTCGAGGGTAGAATTGAGACAGTTTTTATAGGGTTTACAATCTAATCCCAGCATTTGGAAGACGGAGGCAGACAAATCTCTGAATTTGAGGCCAGCCAGGTCTACACAGAGAAACCCTGTCTCCCCTTATCTTCAAGGGGAGAAAAAGAAAATGACTCCCCCCCCACATAACATTATTATTTTTAATTGAACACTCAATGTTTCTTTTTCACTATTAGATGTAATTATTATGTAGGTTATTGTGTAGGATCCAACGGCGTCCTGTAGTTGGTTATTTTGTATAGCTATCCTGAGTCAGAAAGTATAAATTTGGTTACATTACTAGGTTTGATTCTTGTGGCCCCAGTGTGGAAGGTAACTGTCCGAGAGCCTTGTAAGCAAGTGTTGGTTTCTACCCTCCTTAGCTGCTGTTGCTTCTTTTCATTGCCGATTTTGAAATTGCTAAGAAGTTGAAAATTTTACCAGAAAAGTTTTCCTCCCTTACAAGTGACAGGGAAAATTTGAGTATAGTGCATTAAGCCATCTCCTAAGTGATATTTAAAATTATCTCTCTCTCTCTCTCTCTCTCTCTCTCTCTCTCTGTGTGTGTGTGTGTGTGTGTGTGTGTGTGTGTGTGTGTGTGTGTGTGTTATGGGCCTTTGATGACCCAGAAATAAGATAGATGTTCCTCATAAGGAACAGTATTTCTTCTCTCTAAAACCTAACTTATTTTATTTGGTTTTATAGGTATTTTAAAAGTGATTTTAATATGTACACAAAGACTTGTTTGGTATGTCTAATTGGAAATAAATGTAAAGCTTTTGAAAAGAGTATAAATGTTCATTGCTCTTTTCTTGACCTTATATTAAGACTATATTGTTATACAATGGGTCTCGTGATGACATTTTCCTACATGTACATAATGTATTTCAGTCACATTCACACCTCTTATACAGCACTCTTATTCCCCCCCCCCTTCTATTTTCTTTAAGAGTATATTTCTTGTTTCTTTTTTTGAGGCAGGGTCTCACTTGTAGACCAGGCTGTCCTTGAACTCACAGAATGGAGATTAAAGGTATGTGCCACACAGCTGGCAAGAATGAGTTATATTCTCTTTGGTATTATTTTATCTTACCTAAACTGGCTGATGGTGGCACACACCTTTAATCCCAGCACTGGCAAGAGGAGCCCTGTGAGTTCAAGGCCAGCCTGGTCTAGAGTGAGTTCCGGGACAGCCAGGGCTGTTACACAGAAACTGTCTTGAAAAGCCAAACCAAACCAAAAGAAGTGTTTGTTTTTGTAGCCTGTAAGTAGATTAGCTAAATGAAAAGGGGTGAGTATAATTAGGGGTAGAGCCCTTCATTCTGACAGCTCCATATGTCGTTAGATGTGATGATCACTGCCAAGAAATTGTGAAATAAAATATGTTTTCTGCTTAAGGACACAGAAAAGTCAACAATTTAAATTGGATAGTTTCAAAGCAGCCTTATCTATATCTATACTTACTTATATAAATGTAAATTTATCTGCATAATTCCCAAAAGGGAAAATTTTGTCTTTGCCATCCTTGTCTCTGCTGAGATGGAAACATTGGACAAACCCTGGTGTGTTCCAGTTAGCAATCAGACACTTAGTTAAATACACACCTTCAAGCCTCTTGTGAACCATTTCTTCATAAAACCATCCAAGCAAAAATGTGCTATGTTAGAGTGACACTAGTTCATGATTCATAGAGTGGCTAAGACTTAGCTCCTGGAGACCTAATTGGATGGTTAGAAGGGAAGTCTTGTGAGGTAGCAGAAGGTTTAGGACCTAGTGGCATAGGTGAATGAACAGGCTTTTATAGTGTGTGTTTTTGGTTGTGAACCATCTCACCAGCCCCAGATTTTTAATTTAAACAACCGGTCTGTGTGTACTTTGTTTACTCTCTCTTCTTATATGTGTGCTTAGAATTTTGTATTAATGTATTTCTTATGTATACACATACTCTGTACTTTGTAATGCTAGCTAGTGGTAAGTGAAAGCAAGGTAACTGGGTGGGAGATGTTATTTTAGATAGGATGATATGAGATCAGTTCTGAAATGGTGGGATATATATATATTCACTCTATAAAACCTGTCCATCTGTCTGAAAGCACTTGGGCAGTTGTGTGGACCTTTCTTTGTTCTGCTCCTCTTTGTTACTCAGCAGCTTCACTCGTCCATTCTCTGCCTCATGACTTGTTTCATGCTGTGCTGCTGACACTCAGATGTCAGAATGGAGAGAATCACAGTAATAATTGGTCATTATTTAACCCCCAATAAGCATCTTGGGCCAAGTTTCCAAGGTTTGTAGCCAGTCAATTGCTTTTGGTTGAGATGTTGAACTTCCATCCCTGAATTGGAGGTTCAGGTTGTAACCAAGGTGATTGGGTCATAAAATATGGCAGTCCATGTACTTACAGCTTCCTTTTCTAGAAGCGAATAACTAACTTAATTTTACAGTAGCTAGGGTTGCAGCTAGGTGATATATCCCTAGCCTGTGCAAGGACTTGAGTTCAATCTCAGGTATCAGAAACCAAAAACAAATCTTTTAACTGGGACTATATACCCAGCTTTAAAAATTAACGTATTTTGTATTTATTGAAACTAATTATAATTGCATCATTTTCCTCCTTCCCTTTGGCCAATCCTTCCTATGTAATCCTACACTTGTTCTCCCAAAGTCATGACCTCTTTTTCTTTAATTGTTGGTAGTGTTGGTATGCGTGTGTTATATGAATCATGCTTAGTAAAGTAGCGGTGCTTGTAGGTTCTCTGAGAACCATAAGCTCACTAGTCAAGGTAGTTGGCAAGCTTCCTGTAACTAGGTATGATTTCCTCTTGAGTGGCCTCTTAGAGAACTATTGGTTAGCACAAAGATATATGTGCCACTATTATTATATCCTTGCATTTATTTTGCATCTACTGTTCCATGTTGGTTGTTGTAGTTCATAGTTGTCAAACCCAGTTTTCTTTTTTTTTTTTTGTTTTTTTGAGACAGGGTTTCTCTGTATTGCTTTGGAGCCTGTCCTGGACCTTGCTGTGTAGACCAGACTGGCTTCGAACTCACAGAGATCTGCCTGCCTCTGACTCCCAAGTGCTGGGATTAAAGGCATGTGCCACCAATGCCTGGTTAAACCCAATTTTCTTAAGGTCCAAAAGGACCAGTGAACTGGACAGCTTATGCCCCAACTTAGAGGCCTGCAACTTGTACTTAGCATCAGCCACTTGCTGTATGACAAAGCAGGCCATGTGCTGTTAGGCCAACTTTTTCTTTTTTAAATCAGAAGTCCCAACTTACAGAATAACAACAGTTTTCTTGACTCAGTTTTTCTTGACAACTTTTTAAGTGTCAAAACAATAACAATACCATTTATACTAGCAAACACATCTATGTATTACTGATTTATGATGCAGGCTTCTTTGTTTATCTTTTAGTGAAGTTGTCTTCTGAAGCATAGGTAAAGCATGTGGCCTAGCATATTGGCTAAAGGCCCAGTATTATACTAGCAAGAATACTAGTGTACTCTTGAACTTTTTGGGCTTTTCTTAGCTCACAGAATGTTTGAGGATCAACTTTTACAAGTAGCAAAATTTGAATTGATCTTGATTATCTTAAAATAGTGGTCCCTTTCCAATTCCCTCACTAGTTTAGTGACATAAAGATTTGATGATGAACAAATAGGTGGTAAAAGTGTTTTATAGATGTGTTTTAAATGTCATGTTTATTAAGTCATGCACTGTTGAACTCACTGTAAAGTCAGAATTAGGTTGGGGTGAAAAGGAAACAGAAGTAACAACATAAAATAATCTCCCCCAATCTTTGCTTTTGTGTAGGTTAGCTGATGAATTGCACATGCCATCCCTCCCTGAAATGATGTTTGGAGACAACGTTCTAAGAATCCAGCATGGCTCTGGCTTTGGAATTGAGTTCAATGCTACAGATGCACTAAGATGTGTAAACAACTACCAGGGAATGCTTAAGGTAGCTTGTGCTGAAGAGTGGCAGGAAAGTAGGTGAGGATCTGGGCAGTTACAGGTTAAACATAAAAAGAAAGAAGAAGATGTGTGTTTTATTATTCTAAAGCTCATTTTTCTGACCATAAAACAAAGATTAATTTTACGCTGCTTGAATATAGTTTAGTTGAGCTGGGCTATGTAGGTGTCTTTTTTCCAAACTGTCAGTGTCCTTAGTCCAGTCAGTTCATTGTATTTTAATGTCCCTGTTTCTGAAGAAAAACATTTTCTTGTAATTTTCACTGAATATTTGTGGAGTACTAAAACTAAGAAAAATGTTTAGTTTTGGGTTTTTTTTTTTTTTTTTTTGCTCACTAAGTCAACAATGATGTACTTTGTGCCTATTGTATATTAGATGTTTTGGAGGATAAAAAGAAATGTCTTAGGCAGAGTAAGATGACCTAAAAACTTGTCGGCACTGACAAGTTAAACAACAACTAAATGTTCAGAAAACAGTAAGAAAGGTTTTCTGCTAGTTAATGGCAGCAGTGTATACCTTAAATATAAATGTTTTATATTGTATGTGTATTAGTAGGGCATTTTATATTATATATAATGTATAATTTGGTGTGCATATGAATATTGATTTTATACACACACACACACACATATTCATATTCTAAATCTCATCCTTTTTTGTTTTGGTATTTGAGGACGGAGGGTGAACACTCCAAAGAAGTTATTAAACCATATGATTGGACCTATACAACAGATTATAAAGGAACGTTACTTGGAGAATCTCTTAAGTTAAAGGTAAATTTGAACTTTTTGCTTTTATGAATCATTAATTTTTTTAATAATCTCAGTACTAGATCTTTTAGTTATGTTATTATTTTTCCCCACTGCTTTTATCCCACTTATCTTTTGATTGTACCAGGCTTTAGAACCTAATATGAGGGGATTTAGTTTTATTAGTTAATTTATCTATTAGTGGAAAATAAAAGGATATAGCAAGATATAGCCAGTTTCCTTTCTCCTCTCTCTCTCTCTCTCTCTCTCTCTCTCTCTCTCTCTCTCTCTCTCTCTCTCTCTCTGCTTGAGATGGAGTTTTAGGAGTCTGGCATTAAACTCTTGGGCTCAGGTACACCTCCCTTGGCCTCCTAAGTATATGGAACTATAGGTGTGTACCAGTACCTGCTTAGGAACAATGTTCTTTAAAACCTTACTTTGAGCCAGGTGTTCATGGCACACACCTTTAGTCCCAGCACTTGGGAGGCAGAAGCAGATGGATCTCTGTGAGTTTGAGTCCAGCCTGGTCTACAGAGCGAGTTCCAAGACAGGCCCCAAATCAATACAGAAAAACCCTGTCTTGACAAACCAAAAAAAAAAAAAAACAAAAACCAACCTTACTTTGCCTTGGTGTTAGCAGTGTCACAGTCAGTATCTGTCCTTTGTAATGCATTATTAGGTGATTTAGATAGATATGGCTAGCTAGTAACTTAGAGTTTTACACATGAACAACAGAACTGTTGAACAGAAAATTTATATGCTGCTTGCACTATGAATCTGGTATTTTAGGTAAGTTGTTGTTGTTGTTGTTGTTATTTTATTTCCTTTTGGATGGCCTGGAGCTTTTTATGTAGTACAGTTTGGTCTTGAACTCAAGAGATTCATCTGCCTCTGCCACCCTGGTCCTGGGATCAAAATCGTGCTCTACCACCACACCTGATCCTTTAGGTGACTTGTTTAATCAAGACACCTTGTTAGTAGTAAATTGAGAAAACAGTAATGCTTTCCCACGGAAGAATTTTTATATGAGTAGTTGACAAGCAAGTTCTGATTACATTTTAGCATGTTGTGTTAGTGCTGAGATGCACCTGTGTAATCTGGTAAGGACACTGAGAATGTGGAATTGGAACATCTCTATTAACTACATTTTAAGGCCTTACAGTGAGACTGGTGAGACAAGTGGGGCTTAGGCTGTATGTCTGTCAGTGTAAGGAACACAGTTGTTCCAGTGCAAGCTATCTTCCTTACCATTATTGTAGGGCTTGGGAGATGGCTTGGTGGATAAAGGCACTTGCTGCCAAGCTTGATGACTGTGCTTTATCCCTGGGACTCATGTGGTGGCAACAGAGAGCCAGCTCCTACAAGTTGTCCTCTGACTGCCACATTCATGCTGTGGCACACATACCCACACATACACGTAATGCATATAGTAAATGTTTTTAAAGTAAAAGTTACTGGAGACTATATCATAAGGAGATAGAAATTTATTCTTTTTTTTGAGGGGGGCTCTTTTTTTTTCTCTCTTTTCTTTTTCTCCTAGATGGGTTTCTCTATCTTAGCTATCATGGAATTCTCTGTAGACCAGGCTGGCCTCAAACTAAGATTAAAAGTGTGTGCCACCACACCAGCTGAAACTAACTTTTTAGTTTCTCCTCCAAAATTTTCTATGTGTGCTTCTAGTACACAAACAGAATTCTTGAGAAAATAGACATTTGCTCATCTCTTCATTTCATCAGACATATCTTAAACTTTTGCTGTGTGCCATTGTATAGTCCAGTGAAGGAGTGGGGTGATTTTCTTACTCTCTTGACAATTTACAGACTGTAGTCTCTGTCATCACTTCTGATTGAAGTTTGCAGAGAGCTGAGGTCATTTAATGTTTTGTTGCCGGGAATGAAGAAATTGAAGTTTTATGAAACCTCATGCAATAGTGATGATGGTTGTTTTATGGATTCACTTAGGAAAAGCTGCATTAGCTGTAAGTATAGCATCTGGAGCAAGAACCGAGGCAATAGAGATGGAGACTGATAGGAAATCAAATTATGTGCTTGATATTCTCTTACCAACATTTTCACCTATAATGTAATTTCTTCTAAGGTGTTGCTGATAAATGTCAATGCGATCTCCCACTCTGGTAGTGATGAGTGGTATACTTAGGCTTTGTCAGAATATAGGCTTTGGTTCAAATCAGCATCATTTACCAGTTTGACAAGTTCTCTCTCTCTCTCTCTCTCTCTCTCTCTCTCTCTCTCTCTCTCTCTCTCTCTCTCTCTCTCTCTCTGTAGGTTAGGACATCCTTGGTTATGGGTTCTTGTCTTCCATCTTCTTTGAGACATGGTTTCTGTTGTTTTCTGCTGATGCGTGTACTGTGTACTAGGTTCTGTGTCCTGCAAGCTTGTGGGGTTCTCCTGTCTCTACCCCTAGGAGCACCAGTGTTAGAGGCATGCACTATTGTGTCTGGCTTTATATAGAGTTTGGGGATTCAAAGCCAGGGTTTGCCATCTTTGTCGTCTCCCCAGTTTGATCTTTTGCAAAGCCTTGTTTTGGATGAACAATACCAGTTGTGAGGCAGATCCCACGTGTAAAGTATTTAATGCAGTGTCTGATACACATCAAAGACCTCAACAGATGGTCTCAAATAGCAGGTGACTGTTGGAATACCAGACATGACATCAGATGCTTTATGTCTAAGGTTGATAAATGTGGTTTTCTGTGGTTTTAATGGAGTGACTGAGGCTGGAGAGATGGCTCAGCAGTGCAAAGCACTTACTACTCTGGCAGAGGACCAGGTTCAGTTCCAAGCACCCACATGGTGGCTCACAACCACGTGTAACTCTAGTTCCAAGAGATCTGATATCCTCTTCTGACACCTGTGGGCACCAGGAATGCATGTGGTGCACATACATACTGCTGGTCAAACAATCTACACATAAATAAATCTTAAAACAACTTTTTAAGTGGAAAGGTTTTCAGGTAAATTACTGTAATTTTGGTATTTAGTGCTCAAAATAACCTTACAGGTAGGTCCAGTATGCTCATTTTTTTTAGATGAAATATAGGATTCCCAAATTTAAACTGATTTTGGATAACACACTGACCATAGCTTACTGTTTTTCACAGTTGGTATATGTGAAGTTCCTAAAGAATCAATAAAAACAGTATGTCTAAGAAATTTTGGGTAAATGACTATTAACATAGTGTCATCATGTGTGACCCACTTAACAAAATTAATACTGTTTAAAACAAACAAACAACAATTTCTAAGTATATACAGTTGAGAAGGGTTAACTATATCAGCATTGTTGCGTAACCAGTCTCCCCGTTGCTGTCCTTGTGTACAGGAGCTTCCACACCTGCCTTTCTTATGTGAGTTCTGGGGTTTGAACACAGGTTGTTATGCTTTTGCTTCAGGCACTGTATTTCCCAGCACCTAAGCTAGGTGCCATTTTAATGGAAAGAAGTATTTCTCCAGTTCCAGTGAGTATATATAAGTACACTTTACTAGCAGGAAATTGCACTTACCTCTTGTGGTAGCTATAGCTTATCATACTAATTTTCAGTTGATAATTTTCTCATCTTCACAACAGTATACTTAATTATATTCTGAAAGATGGTATATTTGGACTCTAATAGGAAGTCTGGATACCAGTTATCGCTAGTGATTTTCAGAGTTTCAGTGGAGGCAGAGTATAATCTTTCAGTGTCTACTTACTAATTGCACCCAAATGTACAACTGTATGCTGTTGCTATCTATGCAGAGAACATGATAAAAACTGTCTTGCAACTCTAGCTCTTTATATTAAAACTTCCCCATTTAAAATTGTGTATTTCAGGTTGTACCTACAACGGATCATATAGATACAGAGAAACTGAAAGCCAGAGAACAGATTAAATTTTTTGAAGAAGTTCTCCTGTTTGAAGATGAATTACATGATCATGGAGTTTCCAGTCTGAGTGTGAAAATTGTGAGTACTGTGATTGTTAAATTGCCCTCATTCTTTATTGGCTGACTGGATGCCATGTAAAACCTCTTTTGTGTCTAGAGCACACCCTAATGTGTGAAATTTATGAAAAATAAGGATATATTAGTCTTTTTTTTTTAAATATACCTGCCTGGCTATTTTATAGGCTATTTGCTTATTATTTAACTTGAATGAATGAAAACTGTGGCTTAATTCTCATGTTTTGCATTAAAAATGGCATTTGTAGGATCTGCAGGTAGCCTGTTGGGTGCCATATTTATTTATTTTTAGATTTATTTTATATATATGAATATTTTGTACTGCATCCCCTGGAACCAGAGTTTACAGATGGTTAGGAGTTTGGGAAACAAACCATGTTAAGTAACCTGCTAAAGGCTGTGAGGCTATTTAGAGCTAGGGCAGAGAACCTCTATGTAGTTGTTCCCTGATTTGGATTGCTTCAACTTATCATTATTTTGGCTTTATGCTGGTGTCAAAGTGGTAAGCATTTATTCTTAACTATATTTTGGATTTGAATTTTATTTTTTCCATGTTATCAATGTGTGGTATGATACTCTTGATGCTGGGCAGTGAATTGCAGTGCTTGCTCAGCTGTGCAGCTGGAAACACTTGGCACTCTGTGTCCTTGTATTGCTGAGCTACGATATCAAATAGGTCAGATCTTGTTAAGAGCATCTTAGGTGTGTTTTCAATGTGGTGGGCTTTTAGGATGTAGCCATAAACCAGGGGGCATCTTTACTGTGGACTTAGCTTTCTTTCAATGCTTCTCTTTTTTTTTTTTTTTTCTGGACAAGTATTTCATCTCCATTAACATTTTAATGTGCTGTTTTTATCCCCTAGAGAGTAATGCCTTCCAGCTTTTTTCTGCTGTTGCGGTTTTTCTTGAGAATTGATGGTGTGCTTATCAGAATGAACGACACAAGGCTTTACCATGAGGTACTGGTGCTTGAGTAATGAGAATACTGACACTGAACCACGTGTTGTCATTATCACTTAGGTTTTGAGATTAAGTTACGATTCGTGTTAAATGATCATCTGTTAACCCATAAATTGAGTCTCTTAAGTCTAGTGGCTACATATTGTTATCAAAGTTCTGATAATCAAAAATGTTTTATAAAAAATACTTTCTGGGTATGAGTGACACTTTGACCAGGAATTTTGTATAAATTTAACCTGTGTTTAAGGAAAAGTGTCCCTTAGCCTGTCACCTTTATGATAGTATTACCATAGAATGTCCTGATGTTAGAAATTCCACTTAAACTGCCTCCTGAAGTTTGTATCTCATGATTACGTGGTCGTTATTCTAAAGGTGAAAAGTGGTGTCCTCTCTCTAAAGTTACAGGTTCATATAGTGTTAAAAGGAGGGGTGGGTGAGTTTACATTGAGTCATAAGAGAGTTTTCCAGCATCTTTAGACCAGCTTGTCTTTCCTGAATGTTTAAATTCAGAATTGGGCTCACATGTGGTGAAGAATTAGACCTTTTGTTTTCCTCTTGAAACAACACAATGTCTTGGTTTGGCCTCCTTTTCTACCTCTCCCTCTGGCTTTTCTCCCTCTCCCCCCCCCCTCCTTTCCCTCCCTCTGTTCTGTAGCCCTGGCTGTGACTGTGATTGGCCTCTTTCCTTCTTCCTCCTCCCTCCCCCTCCTTCTCTGTTGTGTATCTCTGACTGTTCTAGAACTCAGTATGTCTATCAGACTGGTCTCTAGATGCCTCTGTTTGGATCAAAGGCACATCTGATGGCCCTTTTCCCTTTGTAGAAGCAAAGCCAAAGTAATACATTTTTCTCATAGTGAAACCTAAATCTCAAAAATACTATGTGTAAACTTAGTTATATTATTTTATAATGTATCCTAAAAGGTTCTATTACACAATAACTTAAAAATATTTATCATATAATTGATCAGAGTGGTATATACTTGGACATTCACAGCAGCATTTTTTATATAATATGAAGGAACTTAATAAATTTGGTTAAATTTATATCCATGCAGTAGTAGCAGAAAAATATTTGCCCATCAACATTGATGGTACAGAATTAAATTGAGCTTCATTGGAAGCCTATCTCAATAAATTTTTACAGTTCAATGTGAACCTATTTAAGATTCTGTATAGAGGCTTTGAAATGGGAAAGCCTGTGTTATCAGAAGTAAGATATAAAAGACTAAAACCTTAGAGGAGTATGATTTTATAGGTTTTCTATATTGAAAAGTATTTGTCCTAAAAACAAAACAAAATTACAGTAAATTTTCAATTCAATCTTAGTTTTTTTTCTTTTCTGTTTTTTTTTTTTTTTTTTTTTTAAACCATGTCTCACTTTATATCTCTGGCTGTCCTAGAACTTATTAGATCAGGCTGTCCTCAAACTCAAAGATATCTGCCTGCCTCTGCCTTTTTAGTGCTGGGATTAAAGATATTCACCACCATGCTTGGCAAAATGCAGTTCTTTAACCCAACCATAAAAGTGTTCAATGGGAAAAACTTGAGAACAAAAGGGTGGATTCCTATTTTTATTTTCTTACTTTGGTTTTTTGAGACTTGCCTGTCCTGGAATTCACTTTGTAGACCAGGCTGGCCTCAAACTCACAGAGATCTAAGGAATTTAACAATATGTATGTGGGAATAGGAAAGAATTAAAAAATAAACTTCTTTTTTTTAATGAAAGGAGCCACTGAAAATATAAGATAGCTCAAGAAAATATTTCATTTAAAACTTGAAGCCTTTAAATATCTCTGTATTTGCATAGGTATATCCCATCAAAGTACAGCCTTTGTGTGACTGTATGTGAGTGTGAGTGAATGTTAACATGATAGTAGTCTGGTTACCTGTGTGTATTTGGGTTATAACCTGTCTGTCCTAGTAGACGGTCTGTTTTATAGGAAGGATTTTGTAAAATCAGTATAACAATATACCTGATTTTTTTTTTTTGTTGTTTTGTTTTTAAACATAGGCTGACAAGACCTACATGTTACGAGAATATACATCCCGAGAGAGCAAAATTGCTAATTTAATGGTAAATACTTGAATTTTAATGATTCATTTTAAATCTGGTGTTCCCAATAATCCCGTTCAGCTACATTTACATCTGTAAATGTGCTTATCCTCAGGGCTCTGTAGAGGGAGTCTGGTGAGTGCATCTCCTCTGAGCTTGTCTCAAGCACCAGGGCATCTGGAGTTGTTGGGTGTCTTAGCTGTCGCTCATCTCATTTCCACTGTCCTGAAGAAACTGAGACCCAGAGATGCCATGGTCTGAGTCCCACGGCTTCAGCTGGTGCCATTGGATGTTCCTCTGACTTAGCGCCTTGCCACTCTAGAATTTTTTTTTAAATAATATTTTCATGTTTTGAGATTATACTACATAGTTCCATAAATTTCCCCTTTCTGTCCTCTCATGTCCCCTCCTCTTACTCGTTTTCAAATTCTTGGGTTCTTTTTCAGTAGTAGTTGTTATATGTATGTGTTTCCTAACTAAATACATAAATACAACCTGCTCAGTCTATATATTATTTGTATGTATATATTTTTACACATTCCTTTTTCTTCCAAAACCTGTGGTCATTTTGTACCCTGGCCCATCTATTCTGGAATAATTTTCCTGTATATTTTGCTCACCTGCAATTTTTGAAGCCCTTTACTTAGTACTCGATTTTGTAATGAGTGGCTTAGAAGGCGGTACCTCTTTACAAACTTAGTTTTTTGTTTTTTGTTTTTTTTTTAACCTGTAGTGCTTATTTCTGTCTGAATACAGAGTACACTTGAGTTAGAATAATTACTCAGATTCTGTCATAGAATGTGAACTAGGCTCTAGCTTAATACTTACCTTTCAAGTTACTTCAGTAACAGGAACCAGGGGAGGGATTTGGTCAAAATGTGTGAAATTCTCCCAGCATTTACAGTAGCACTATACATTATACGGTCCTGAGTTCCTGGAAGGTCATTCAGCAACACAGTTGAATGATTGCGTAATTATAAACACTTGTTATTTGGAGGAACACTTAATGATACAACTTTTGTATATAGTGTCCCCGATTTGGAAATTGGCATCCTTTGTGAATGTTTGAACTAGAAGATCTCAGAAACTGTCCAGGTCATAACCTAAGTTTATACTAATAAAAGATTTTTGTGTTTTCCCTAGCACGTTCCACCTTCCCTCTTCACCGAACCTAATGAAATATCACAATATTTACCAATCAAGGAGGCAGTTTGTGAGAAGTTAGTATTTCCAGAAAGAGTTGATCCTAACCCTGCGGACTCACAAGGCCCACCCTTGGAATAGAATGTGGTACAGCATACTCTCCGTGTGGATCCTGTCTGGACATCTCAGCTGTTTGTAGGGATATTTTTATTATGAGAATTAATTTCCTTGCTTATGCTCAGATTTTCTGTGGCCTAAAGGAAAATAAAAGAGCATTACAGGCAGGTCCCACTCAGCTCCCATTTATCTTGTCTGTCTTCAAATTCCTACTGGAGGTATAACTCTGGAGCTACATTTGGATTCCTAAATTATCCCAAATTGTGACTTCAGCAGCAGTGATGTGTGTGTCTCAGGAGGGGGACATGATCAGCGTCCATCGTGAAGCATCTTCTACTGTGAAGAGGATAAATTGTAAATTCCATCACTGAGTCCCGATGCCTTGCGACTTCCATAGGATTCTGGCTGCATGTTGATGTACTGTACTGGCTGGGCTTTAGGCTGGCTTTCTGGTGTTTATTCACACTTCTGGAGAGTTGTGACATGTCACCTAGGAAATTAATCTTGTATTATTCATTAGTTCCAGTTTCTGGGCAACATTTTATTGTGTGTGTTTGTACACACATGTATTTTTGAAACTTTTCATTTAAATGTCTTTGTCTCTGAGTACTGTTAGATTACTTATTTTGATAATTCATTGTTAAAAATTGTGGAGAATTAAAGAATTGACCTTTTTATATATAAATAAAGTGGGTGGTGGGAAAGATGAGTGTGCTTCTGAAGATTGTATTAGTGTATTCCGGTGAGGAATGCCAAGAAAATGTGTCTGGCCATTTCTAAATATGACATATACCATTTTATATTTATTTGTCCAGCGTCTTTTGTAAGAGGAGAATAAATAATAAGGAATTGCAGATCCATATTTTGCTTTTATTTCAGCTTTCCTTAGAGCTTGAAGAGTGGCTTACTTAGGATCTATCTTTTTCATCCACCCTTATGTTTTGAGCCTGTTCCATAGTGCAGATATATTTTCCCATGCAGATTACAAATGGAAATTGGTAGGGAGTTATGAGCATGATCCCCTCGTTTATTTCTGAGGCCTTGCCCATCTTTCTGCTCCTTACATTCTGTGGGCATTTTAAGTAGTCAGAAAACATGCCTGCATGCCATGTATAGCATCCCATTCAATTCTGAGTGCTGTGTTGTCTTTTGTGGTACAGGGATTCTGTAATGAGACACAACACAGTTGGTCCTTTATACCAATTGGGTGCTACGTATGTGGATTCAATTACTTGCTCATCAAAAGATTTGAAAAAATATCCTGTCTATACTGACCATGCACAGACTTTTCTTGCTATTGTTCCCTGACTAGCAGTTTAACAACCATTTATGAGGTATTAACACCTGTATCAGGTATTATCAATAATCTAGAGGCGATTTAAAGTGTATGGGAGGATTCAGTGACAAATTTTATATTTTGGTATGTGAGGATATGAACCAAATCTCCTAAGATGACTGAGACAACTTTTTCATGGGGCTAAGGTTTACCAGAGAATATAAAACTAGCTAGAGTTTTTAGAAAATGCAATGATGGGAATAAAGACTTGAGGATAATGGGGAGCTTGGCTTTAGTAACCAGTTCTTCAGAAGGAACTACCTTGGGCAAGCTAGAAAATTACCACTTTTGTTGAGGTGAAGTTGAGATAACAAGACAAATGAACTGAATTCCAAGAAATGATAAGCTCCGAGGAAAAAAAGGACACAGACCTATTCCTCTTCAGAGTACAAGAGAAAGGCAGCCACAAGCATAAAAGAAACATTCGCAGACATCCTGTTACAAAATCTTTTTGTTTTATTTATTATTTAGGTTTTTCTTTTTTTTCAAGACAGTTTCTCTGTGTAGTCCTGGCTGTCCTGGAATTCATTAAATAGACCAGGCTGGCCTTGAACTCAGAGATCTGACTGCTTCTACCTCATGAGTGCTGGGATTAAGTGTGTGCCACCTGCCTGGCTCATCTTTTTTTTTTTTTTTTTTTGAAGATTATAATATAATTACATCATCCCCCCCCTTACATTTCCTTCCCTCAAGCCCTCCATGTACCCCTCTTTGCTTTTTTTCCAAATTTATGGCCTCTTTATCATTAATTGTTGCATGTGCATTGGAGTGCATGTGTGCATGCATATGTCAGTGTACATGTCCTAAATATGTAAGTTCAACCTACTCAGATTGTATACTTTCATGTGTTTTCAGGACTGACCATTTGGCATTGGATAATTGGTTTGCTCTTCCCTGTGAAACATTTTTACCCACTTAATGCCATTCTTTAGTTACCTGTAGTTCACTATGTAGAACATTGTGCAAATTCTTAAAAGGCTGTGTGGACAGTGTATCTTTGGGATAGGTGGAAGTCTCAGTTAAGGGGACTTATTAACTTCTTCAGTTAAAGCTGTACCTCTTAGAGCTAAAGACCTGCACCTGGGAAGGAGCGGGGCAGGGCACCTGTAAGACCTGATACTTGGGAAGTAACTGGGGACAGATACAAACCCTGCATACTTGGATCCAGGTCCTCCTTTTGAAGGATACAGATGCTGTAGGGTGCTGTGGGAACAAAGCTGCATCTGATGGAACCTACCACCTCTGGAAGAGGGATGCAAATTCAGGAGAGGCGTAGGATGAGTCCTCCCAAGGAAAGAATAGAAGCCCACCTTGGCTGGATGAAGGGGCTGAAATGGAATGTGGACCAGGGTTCCATATGTGTGACACTAAGAGGGCTGCTGCTACTGGGGTTGGATGGCATGGAATTCTTCCTCACATGAGACCATTGATTTAAGGTGGAGTTTCCTGGTTATTGCAGAATGAGATGGGAATGTTGAGAAAGCCCACCCCAAAAAACCAGGTACAAAAGCCTACCTAAGACAGGCCAGCCAAGATCAGCAGAAAACTTTCCTGTCCCCAGTATGAGCCAGTCTATTGCTAAAGGAATAACAAGTCTTAATATTTAATGGGGTTGGCATTTGGGGATCCCTTAAAGTTGAGGGGAATAAGCATTACTTTAAAACAAGACTTGCTGGAAAGTGTGGCCTGTGCACAATTCTAGCTTCTAGGAGGCTGAGACAGGATCATTAAAAGCTTATGACCAACGTGGGATTCAGGCTTCTTCAAGGATAGTTTGAACTACGTGGGTGAGACCCTTTCTAAAGAACATCAGGGCTAGGGATGCTGCTCTGTGTTTGAGTGAATATGCATAAGGGCATACATTCAATTCCCTGAACTGCAAAACAAAAATGGGCTGCTAGCTGGGGCTTGGGAACAGTCTTGCCCATGGGAGCACCTAGTAATCATTTTGGTGATTTGAGAAGGTTACTCAATGGAACAATCACCATTACTAATAGAACAAGGCAAGTTGGAGCTTTTTACCAGTCATTTCTCACAGTTGTAAAATTATTATGAGTAGCAAAAGTGTTCCATTTTCATTTGTGACTGTGAGAATATTATACTTGGATACAATGTGTTTTGATCATACCCTACTTAATGAATGTCCTCTTGGATTCACTCCTCCAAAATTTCATGTCTTTTTTTTACCCACTTGGTTCAATTAGTGCTGCTTATATACCCATGAATGTGGGTGCATCCATCCACTGGAGTATGGTTGGCCTACCAGGGCCATACCCTTAAAACTGACTCTCCTGGCAGCCATCAGGTTGTCAAGAGCTACTCTGCTAGGTTTGGGAGCTTGTGAGTCTCACCTTCATGCTGAGACTGTTGCCTGGCTTGATCTTGTGAAGGCAGCCACAGCTGCAGTGAGTTCATGAGTCCCATCATGGCCAGAAGACACTTTGACCCTGATAAATTTCTAACACGCCTAACTTAGCTTCCGTCTGTGATCCATAAAAACAGGGAAATCTTTGCTAATCTTTCTTATGGGTGTGCCCAGTCTAACAAGCTTCCAAGCTGCCCACCTATGGAGTTTCTTTGCTCCATTGTTCTGTCAGTCCAATTTCAAACTAGGTTAACAGCAACTCTGGGGCATTCTTCCTGACTGTTCACATACATGAACACACAGCATACACATGTGCATCTGCAGTAGAATATTACTACATTCAAGGTGAGTGACTTTTGTCTGCTGCATTTAACTCTGTGAAGCTGTGATTCTTTGCCTGTCTAAAATACCCGATGGTCCTAATAAAGAGCTGAACCACCAATAGGCAGGAACAAAGATAATGGGGCTGGCAGGCAGAGAGTATAAATAGAGAAAGAGACCAAGGAGAGGAGGACATCAGGGGCTAGCCACTTAGCCACCCAGCCAGCCACAGAGTATGAAGGAAAGTAAGATATACGGAAGCAAGAAAGATAAAAGCCCAGAGGGAAAAGGTAGATGGGTTAATTTAAGATAAGAAAAGCTAGAAACAAGGCACACTAAGGCCTGGTACTCATAATTAAGAATAAGCCTTCGTATGTGATTTATTTGGGAGCTGGGTGGTATGCCCCTCCAAAAGCCAAAAGAGCAAAGATAAAAGATTCACACAACACACAATCGTGCACACACACACACAACTACAAATAAGAATGGCTCTATTATAGTAGCAATGATCTTTACAATAAAATACACAATTTAGTCAGTGATTCTTAGTAGTTTTGCAGACAACCATTACAACCAGTTACCATTTTAGTCCTCTCATCAGAAACTCATTACCACCCCTCCTCCTCCCCAGCTCTAGTCGGCAGCCCAGCCACTGACCCACTCTGTTTTCATTGATGTGCCTATCTTGGAAATTCACATAAATGAGCATAAACATGTAGTCTTTTGTTACAGTAGTGTCATCTAAAGCAAAAGAGACTAACCCACAGTGTCGTTTGCCCAAGAGTGAGCCTGATGCATTTGTTCTGAAGAGGCCATCCTCTCTATTTGTTGAACAGCATGTGTGGCATGGACAATGAATGCGGAGCTCTTAGCAGTCTTTGATGGGAGCCTCACGATGGAATACATTGTTTTTCTGACCCTTTGACTCAGAATAGCACACAAAGCCACACATAGATATTCTCAACCCATACTTACATGTCGTGTCCAAAATTTTAAAAGGGAGGTGGTGCTTATTTTAACCCTTTGCTGTCTTGTTAGTTCATCTTACTCATATATACACTTCTGAGTCAGGGGCATGCATGGGCTCTGAAGGAAAGAGAGGGAACATTATATAAGATCGAAACTAGTATAAACTGCTAAGATGGATTTCATAGTTTTTCTTAAAGGGCAGTTGATTTGGATCAAGCTGAGTACACATTATGTAAACAAAATGAGTACTTGGTTCTAAGTGACCTCAAAACACATTGCTAACTTGGTCACAGACTGGGCCAAAGTCTGGTTTATAAAATGCAAACCACAACAGGCGTTTCTCAGAAAAGTCACCCCCATGTGCTTACTGGCTTCTTTCTCTTACTACCTTTTCAAGGTTGTTCCATGTTGCACAGATGTGTATTCTCTTCCTATTGTAGAATAAACTTCTATCACATGGATATATTACCTTTTATTTACTCACCATTTACTGGCTATTATACTATTTATACTTTTTGTCTATTATTAATAAAACATCTATGAACATTTGTGTACTTTAAAAATTGATTTATAATTTTGTTGTTCTAAGTAGAAACCTGAGAGTAGACTTGTAAGGTCATATGTATTTTTATTTTTTAACTTTTGGGGAACAGCCATTCTGGTTTTCCAAGTGGCTTTCCCATTTGATGTTCTTACAAGTAGTATGTGAGGGCCTCAAGTCTGCACACCTTCATCAGCATGTGTTCTGTCTCTCTACCAGAGCTAATCTCAGGGGCCAAGGAGCTCCCTCCTTGTGTTTTGCTTACATTGCGGTAGTGATTAATGGTGCTGCCATCTTTTCATGTGTTTGCTGTACATTTGTGTATCTTCTCAGAAAATGTGTCTATTCAGAACCTTTGACTATTTTAAACATTGGTTGTCTTTTGTTATTGAAGTAGAAGAGTTCTTCCACATTCTAGACACAAGCCTTGTGAGTTGTCTTCACTATGTGTATTTGTGTCCTTTGAGCACACACAGAGGCTTTTAATTTTATGAGGTTCATTGTATTCTCACAGAGATCCATCTGCTTCTGCCTCCCAAGTGCCGGGATTAAATTGCACTGCCATCCTGGGTTCTCTGTATACTTTTGTTGCTTGTGCTTTAAGTATCTTATCTAAAACAGCATTGTTGCCTAAACTAAAATCAAGATTTATTCTTGTACAAGCTCATAGCTACTGTGTGACCATTAGCTTGTACATTAGGTCTATGATCCATTTTGGCTTAAGTTTTGTTTGTGGAATGAGGTAGGAGTCCAGCTGCATTCTTTTGCATATGACATCCAGTTGTCTTAACACCATTTATTGAAATGACATGCCAAGCACTTGACACCATCTATCTCCTTTTTCACTTCATAAACCCCTATGGATAGCCTGGTAGTTCACACCTTTAATCCCAGCACTTTGGAGGTAGAGGCAGGCAGATCTCTGAGTTCAAGGTCAGCCTGGCCTACAGAAGTAAGTTTCAGGACAACTAGGACTGTTACATAGAGAAATGCTGTCTCCAAAAACAGAAGCAAAGAAAAAACAAACAAATAACAACAACCAACCAAAAGCCCCTATTGGTAGGCATCATTCTCTCGTCACCAATGAAGACACCAAGTCTTAGATCAAGTAATCTGCCTGTGGTCACATGACTGATAAATGAAGGAATCTACATTTGAACTCATGTTCTCTGACTCCAGGCACTACATTATGCTTTAAAAGCATTTTATAAACTATAAAGCAACAGTGTAGGGATGCCTTGTTTAAACTCTGAAGAGAGTATGATTTCTAATAGGGAATGTTTAAAGAGAGAAAGAGTACTGACAGTCCAGCACTGAGAAAAAGAAGAAACAAAGACAAAGGGACTGCTTGTGTCTGGGTTCACACAAACAATGATTCTCAGATGTTTCTATTTTATATATATGGTTTTCAACTAGGTCAACTGATACCTTGACTTTGTGACTATTGTATATGTAATTCACATAAAAAATCTCCAGTAAGGCACTAAGAGCACAGAATTAAGGAAGAATACCAATGTTTGGTCTTGGCAAGTATCTTCTTTCTTTAGCACTATATTAGAAAATCGTCAGTGATGGACAGACTCTTCCCAAGAAGTGACTATACCGATACATCCAATTATACAAATTGTTATGTGCTGTGTATTAGACAGTATCTAAGCACCTACATTTTTCATGTTGATACTGCTTTGTTCTTTCCTCATTTCCCTGAAATGGTCAAAAATCTCATCAGAGACTGTCATTTGTAACTTTATCTACTTTGAGAGCAGGAACTGCATATTCCCTTAACAGCACATAGCTCTCTTATGTTTTTTTCAAGTGAATAATAGACTGATACAAAGCGTGAATCAGCAATTCTGTGAACAGCAGGGTAGAAGGTTAGTTTTAAGACCTTTACATAAGGTTCTCCTAGATTATTAGATGAACAATAGTACAAGTGGTACAATGGGCTCTAGTGTAAACATTGCCATTCAGCTTTATCTACTTTTAAGCTGGCCCTGCAATCAGCTCTAAATGCTTCCTTTCTAGCAGGGGCCAGCCTGGTCTCAGAAATTCCACCCAGGGATCACACATGCTTAGTTCTGCATTTGTGCCAACTGTGTAGTGTAGATGTATAGTAGTGCTTCAAAAATGCAGAAATAAATAGCTGTGTGAGACAAGCCAGTTGGGGACAGAGAGGCTGCCTGAGGGTAGAGGGGCTTTCCAGGGAAAGATGATGCAGCTTGAAGGCTTTTCTGAAGTTAAGAACTGTGTGCACCAGTCCTGTGGCTTGAGAGGCACTTTTTTCTGCTTCAGGCTAAACTTCTGCATTTAGAACCTTGTTGTTGTGGCTGACTGCCCACAGGGTTGTCATCTGCTGCAGGTCCTTCCTTCATCAGTGCCGAATACGAAGACTGCATGTATACATTGACTGGAAGCTTGTTTTTTTCTTGTTTTGAAACAGAAAGTTCATGTCTTTTTAATATCTTGATGAACTTTGTATTTCCTTTGAGATAACTTGGTGTCCTTTGCCTGGTCACTTAGAGTGAGTCATAGCCCTAACATTTTCAGTGCCTGGGAGCCCATATGTCATCTTTGAGTATTTAAAAATTATAAGGGTAGCCAGCTATATAATCATTAAATTATGTTTCATCCTCTACCATCAACAAATATGCATAAGTGATGGCTTTTATATGATCAAAAATTGCAACATATAGGAGATGGTTGAATTCGATCAGTACCAGTACAGTTTTTGAATATGTTATCATAGTGATGAATTCCATTTAAAAAATAATTTTTTATATTTTAAGAAAAATTCCTAGCATATTCCAAACTCTCTATGGAAGATAAAGGTAAGAAATATAGCATGTTTAACACATACTAATAATTTAAATTGCTACACAGAGCTGAAAGTTTTTGACTTTTTGAAATAGTGATTTTGTTAGCATTTTGACATCAATGCTTTTTGTGATTCAGTCTAATGTTCAATGCTTTAGAATCAGTGTCATGAGTCTTGTGAGTTCTGTCTAAACATACATGTATACATTGTTAAGAACAATGTCACAAAATCAAATACTTAGCCTTTGTGTGAACTGTTGTCAACTCTGCACTTATCTGAGAGCATTTCTGGAACTTTAAATGTCAGTGTGATAAGAAGACAAGGGAACAAAGTCTCAGCATTACTGGGAAGGGCAACACTGCTATGCAAAAATCTACTGCATTCAAGGTAAGGTATCTTGAGAGGAGGGACCTGCCAGGGTAGCTTGACTTTTACCTAAGCAGTCCCACGCACTGGGATGGAGTTGCCTTTTGTCCCAAGGATCTAAGGCAGGAGATTTGAAGAATCACTTGCTGGGGCCGGTTATTCATAGAAGGTTGTGCCATGTTAGGGGCTTGATTGTGAGGTCTCAAGTAAGAGATGCATTCATACGTCCATTAACACATTTGTGTTTATGTGTTTGTGATTTTCAAGTATACAAAAGCATTGCTCAGGAACAGAGCCCAGCTTTCCAGATATTATTTGTGAAGATCTCAGTGTCGAGGGCACAGACTTGAACATATATAATAATATTGTGAGCCAGGTATGTAGCTGTGCTTAAAAGTGCTACTGGAGAATAGGAAAGAACAGCTGCCCATGCCATATTGGGTGGCTTGGAAAGGCTTCCGCGGTGGTAGAATAAGGACAGCTTCTACTACATGCTAAGAGTCCCCTCCACTCTAGACTTGTCTATCTAGTCATGTTTTTTTCCCACAGTTGTGTCTCAAAGTCATGTAAAGTTATGCTCACTTTACATTACAGAAGCAAACAGCCGGGGATCAGAAAGGCTAATAAGCTACTTGTTCAAGGCCATATAGGTGGCAAATGATAGAAGAGGTGAAGCAGGTGTACCCCAACTGGTGTGAATGGGGTACTGTGAATCACTCCTTGTTTAGTTATTAGTCATTTCTAGCAGGCCTGACTTCTTGGTTAGTGTGTGGATTCTCCCCTCAGTGCTTCTGATGTTCTCTCTGTGGCCTCATTTCCCTTTTTGGGAAGCAGGGACAGTGCTGGGAACTGAACCCAAAGCCTGGCACATGTTAGGCAAGTAGTTACACCTTGGTCTCAGTGTTTTCTGAGCCAATTTAATCTTAATATAGGTTTCCCAGATTTCCCTAGCAACCAGTGTCCTAGGTAAGCAAACTTCTGTCCAGTCTGGAAGATTCCATGAGTTCATATGGATTCTGCTACATAGCCTCCGTAATGATGCAGCCTAGTTCTAGTCAGAAGTAAAGTAGTTACCAAACACAAAACTCAGTCTCCTCAGCCAATTTGTCATCTGTTCTTAGGTGTTGGTTGGTCCAGTCACATCTCCAGGGCCTTTTCCCCTAGGCATTAGGTAAGACTTGCTGCGTTCACTGCTAACATTTGCACTGCTACAGCCTGTTTCACACTGATTTGTTCCAGTTAGCCTGGATTGTTGGTTTTTGTTTTTGAAGACCTTCTGCGGTATACACAAAACCACCAACGGATTGACTTCAGCGTCTGTGTGTAAATCAGCAAAAGGCCTTCCCTGAGTTCTTCTAGGTCCCGGCACGTGGTGGTGCTCGCCGCTGGAACGAAAGCGTGAGGCCCGGGCACTTGCGCAGCCAGTTCGGTGTCAGGAACCTCTCCCGATGACTTCAACTCAAATGTCCAGGTCCAACCCGAGTGACCCCTAGGAGCTGGCGCAGGGGCGTGGCCGGCGCGGGGCATGCTGGGCGGGCAGGTGGGCAGGTGCCTGGGCGGGGCGCGCCGTGGTTGGCGGCGGGCGGAGGGGCGGGGGCCGCGCACCCGGAAGAGCGGTCCGCAGAGCTAACTCGGCAGGCGGCGGCTGGGGCCCGACATGGACAAGCTGAAGAAGGTGCTGAGCGGCCAGGACACCGAGGACCGCAGCGGTCTGTCCGAGGTGAGCGCAGCCCTGGAAGCCAGCATTTCTTGGGAAGCTGCTCTGCTCCCTTCCCGCCCGCGGCGCTGAGCTCAGCCGGGACGCTGCCACAGGTGGCAGCTCGGGGACTTTGCAGAGGGCGTGGCTCCCGAACCCTGCTCAACTTCCCCTCCGGAGGACCAGGCCTTCTGGGCTCCTGGGCCTGATCCCCAGCTCCTGCTGGAGCGGCCAGGGCTCTTCCTTTGGAGCCAGGCGAGGCCGGCGGCCTTGGTGGAAGGAGCCCCTTCCTGGATCACGGGCTGACTTTGGTTGTGGGGTATGAGGTCCAGACCGGGCCTTATGCGAACTGCATAAGTAGTAGTAAAACTCCGGGAATACCTAGGAACACCTTCTAGATCCCTGAGTCTCCAAGGTTCATTCCTAGACTATAGATTCCCACGCACCCCGGAGACTGTCAGAGTGGTGTTTTTTTTTTTTTTTTTTTTTTTTTTTCTAAAGCAGGACTTTGATGGCTTTGAAACCTGCCTAATAAGGTCCTATGCTCCTGAGCCACTTAGAACGTTTTATTTTAGATGCTTTTGGAGTTTGCCTACATTTTCCTTTCTCGAAGACGAAACGTTTTACTTGATGTATCCTTAGCCCTGGTTTCCCCTTCTGTGAAACAAGGGCGTTGAACAAGATGATATTGCTCTTTCTCCTTGGAAACTGAGTTCCTCTCTTGATATGTACTTGTGTTCGTCGAGGTTTTCCCAACATTCTGCTCTCACTTTTGTGGTTGATTTTGTTCTGAGTTTAGTCTTTGCAAAAACACAACTGCACTTCAGAGGGAGTAAGAGTTTATTTTGAAGCCAGATATGCGCGACCATGGCCCCAGGACAGATTCAGATTAGGAGAGATTCAGTGTTCCAACGTGTTTAACAGTTGGATAGGTATATATGTAATAAATCAAGGCACTTGCTAATGTAACCACTAAGGTGATTACAGCAAAGTGGAGGAATCTCAGTTGGAGGTCCTCTAGGCTATCTGACCATACTCTAAAACCCTTGGCTTGTACAAGCTTGTGTTGTGTTTGTTGTGTTGTTAATAAAGTCCAAGACGGCTGGTTGTTGGTGGGGCTGGGTGTTGGTGGCGCAGGCCTAGTCCCAGCACTCAGGAGGCAGAGACAGGCGGATTTCTATGAGTTTGAGGCCAGCCTGGTCTACAGAGCTAGTTCCAGGACAAGCTCCAAAGCAATACAGAGAAACCCTGTCTCAAAAACCAAACAAACAAAAAACACAAAAGGATAAATTCCAAGATGTTTTTTTACCTGTTAGTCACAGGTGGGCAAGAAACGACTATTTAGGAGCTAAAGACAGTCTGAAGTTAGTTGCAATCAGACATAGACAGACCTCTCTACTATCATTAGAAATAGAACCAGTGATTTCTATGTTTTTAAGAAATGTTTCATTTTTAAATTTTTGGCCTTTTGTGAACTTCTTTGATATGAGATAAAGCCTGAGAAAGCCCCTAGACTTAGTCGACCCTCAGTGTCATTTATGATAAGCTCCATAGAAGTCAGCAAGCTGTTCAAAAAGTTGGGGCTGAAGGGGAGACTGGGTGTAGTGTTGGCATCTGTAGCAGTGGATGGGCCTTCACGAGTGACTAGTGTAGCACCATTTAAAAACAGATGCAAAGTGCCCACCCTACACCCCCAGTCCAAATGGTGGATGCCTGTGAGGAGACAGGAAGGCTTTAACCTCCTCTTAAGCTCAGGCACATATTACTTCTATTTTTAAAAGACTGTGGGCTTCACTCTTGTTTAAAAACACTGTCAGTTTCCTCTTTCCTAGTAAGATTCCTGTAGATATGTGTCATTGTGTGGCATTTCCAGGTCTTGAACTCCAAGGAAAACTATTTTGTAGCCAACAGGTTTCGTCGTCAGGGATGTTCTGGCTCAGTAATCACTTACTAGGCTCTGCCTCCTGTTAAGTACTAACTAATGTGGTCACACTTTCCAAGTTTTGAGCCTGAAAAAACTGGAGGATTCTGTGGTGAAATTTCCTTGTGTGGTTAGCTGGATGAAGTCACCTTAAAGTTTTCTCAGTTATATGACCTGTTGCCAGAAAAGTTAGAAAACACTTTATAATTTATATTAGTGCCCACTCTAAAGTATGTCTTGTTTCTTCCTTCTCTCCTAGGTAGCTGTAAAGTTGGCAGGACTCTTAGTTACAGTCTATGATAAGTCTTCTAATTGACACCCCATCATTATAAACATACTTAAGTCCTGGTTTCAGTTCAGTCCATTCTGAAAGAACAGGCTTTGTGTTTTCTGGAAAGGGTTCTTGGGACAAGGAAGGTCTGAAGGGATCATAACTTGTAGGAATACAGCAGTATTACTTTCTCACCTCGTGGCTGCCAGTCCTTAGCTAAGGCGCTTGGCAAGAAGCCCTCTGCCCTCTCCATTCTGGAGTCAAAGGGGCCTTTGTACATGACTGCCAAGACAGCTCATGATTCCCTACATTCCTTACAGAGGCTATCCAGGTACTGTTTTACCTGTTTGGACTTTGGAAAAGAAAAAAACCTCTGTTTTAGCAGAGTTTCCAGAAACTGCAGCTTAGAGAGAGATTTTTTTTCATCAACTGAATTTGCTTTCATAAATTGACAAAATATTTTCCTTTCACTGAGTTCTTTTAGAAGAAGTAGAGCAAAAGCTTCCTCTTCTTACCTTAACCAAGTGACGGAACATACAGATAGTGGGAAACAGGGTGGTGAAGTATTCCTGCTCCCTACCCTGTGTCCCCATCCCTGCTAGAGAAAAGGCTGCATTTAGATGGACTCATCTTGAGACATTTGTTGAACTCAGCGTCACTCTCATGTCTTAAGGTAAAAAGCATGTTTTTTGGTGGAAATTCCTTTCTCTTGCCAGTGGCCTTCCTTCCTCCCTCCCTCCCTCCCTCCCTCCCTCCCTCCCTCCCTCCCTCCCTTCCTTCCTTCCTTCCTTTCATTTGTTTTTGGGGACAGGGTTTCTCTGTGTAACTCTGACTGTGCTGAACTTACTTTATAAACCAGGCTTGTCTCAAACCCAGAGATCCACCTGCCTGTGCCTTCTGAGCTGGGATTGTTTGCCACCACTGCCTGCCTAAATAGCCAGTGCTAGTCTCCTAGTCTGAGGGGAGTCAAACCTCAGTCTCCCACATGACAGGTGGGGATACTCACCATGATACTAATGAGGAGGATGGCTATCTCTTGCCAGGGCCTTTTCTGTCTGTAGAGGCATGAATTCACGGTCCTGCTCTGACTCTGAAATGTTCTGAATGCTAAGACTTGTTCAACTTTGACTCTTTACAGTTTATCCTCTTAAACAGAGGTTGAACTTGTGAGTATGGCTGCTGATGCTGGTGACACTCAGGCAGTTTATTCCCTGCTCTGTTCCTCTTCTCCTCCTTTACCTAGCTTGGTTGTTTCCACCTTAACAAGGTCTGTGCATGATTGGAAGAGCAGGAATTGTTCATTTTCTTCTGCGCCTGGTGGGAAATTACACAGTTTAGTCAGAAGAGGTCTAACCTGATTGTCTAGGGCCAGTTAAAGCCTGGTACACAACATCCTGTGGTTACTTTAGAGCCAGGGGGAGTGGAAACAGATTCTTTGAGGTGGACGGGTAACCTCTGTTTGGAAACACACACTCAGTTATCAGGTCCTAACATTGTGGTATATGCCTTCCTCCTCTTTAATAATGTCTATATTAAATATATGGATTATATATGTTAAATATAAGGAATGACTATATACACATATATGTGGGTAGAGTTTATTTCATTTGTTTATTTTTTTGGTTTTTCGAGATAGGGTTTCTCTGTATTGCTTTGGAAAGGGAGAGAGATTTTAATTACATCATTTCCCCTTCCATTTCCTCCCTCCAAGCCCTCTCATATATCCCCCCCATGCACCCTTGTTCCTTCAAATTCATGGCCTCTTTCATTTGTTGTTGTTGTTGTTTTGTTGTTATTGTTGTGTGTGTATTTTACTAAATACATACATACCACCTGCTCAGCCTCTATAATGTTACGTGTATGTATATGTGTTCGGACTGACCACTTGGTGTGTTCTTCCCTGGGGAAGACTGTTTCTTCTGCTCCTAGCATTCCTCAGTTGCCTGTAGTTGTCTAGGGTTGAAGCTTCTTAAGTCTTCTTCCTTCCACATTAGCATGTCTGTTGGTGTTGTCCTTGTTCAGGTCATGTTTAGGCAGCTGTGTTCTTGAGGCTTCAAGGGTTTGCCTCTGACATTTCTAGGAGATATAATCTTACAGCAAACTCCCTGTTCCCTGGAGTCTTACAGTTTTTCTGCCCCATCTTCCACAGCGACCCTGAGACTTAGGTGCTGGAGTTGCGTCTTAGTTGTGTCCGTTGGGACTGGGCTCCACAACTCTGAATTGTGATTGGTTGTGATTTTCTGTGATGGTCTTTATCTGTTGCAAAGAGAAGTTTCCTTGCTGAGGGGTGAGGACTAGACTTATCTATGGATGTAAGGACAAGTATTTGGAATGTAGTTAGAGATTCTGTTGCATGCCCCCTCTCTGGGGTGCTGGAGATGGAACCCAAAGCCTCGCTCATGCTAGGCAAGAACTGTTCCACTGTGCTACACCCCTGGCCCATTCCATTCCTGAATGTGCCTTCCCTTAGGTTCCTACTCTGTGCCAGGTTCCTGCAGGTTCTCAGTGTGTTCGAGGGTGGCATTGCAGTATCACAGTGACTTGTGGAAGTAGGCAGAGAGCCATTTTTTTGATGACCTAAATACCTTTCTCCCGGGTAGAGATTAACCCTTTCTGTGTAGTACCTGCCACACCTAGGGAGCCTCTTGGTCTTCTCTTCCAGCTTCCGGTTTGACAGGTTGGAAACAGGTTGTCGAGACAGGGCCAGTCAGGGCCGAGGGAGTGGTCCTGCTCACCTACCTTCCTCCATCAGTTGGTTGGCAATGGAGTAGGCAGCCTTCCTCGCTTTGTGAGGCTGAGGTGCCTACATAAGGGGAGCTTGGGTGTTTAAATGTTGACCTGGGTCTGCTGATTGGGTTTGAGCTCTCAGTGGCAGCTTTCTGTGTCTATCTGTGGGCAGTGAGCACTCTGCATCTTAGGGACAGCCTGGAAAGGCCTATGGTACAGCGACTCATCATCTTTAATACGAGAAAGGACCATTGAGATCTGCTATCCAGCTTTTCTGTTTTAGTAGAATTTTCAGGAAATTTTGGCTTCCCTTGGACTTAACCTGGAGGAAGCATTAATCAGCTGAGAATGGTAGAGAGTTGAGATGAACAGGAAGTGATTAGCTGGGATCTGGCTGACTGCGGCTGATTTGACTGTTGCTGGCACGATGTAAAAAAGAACAAGCAGCAGCCTTGCATCCTGGTAAACATGGGGGCCTTCTCACTCTGAGGTCCTGGAAGTGTTGCAGCAACTTCTGTGGTTGGTAGGAGAGATAAGAGAACATGGCCAGTGGACCAAACTGCATGGGTGTCCAGTCCTTGTCTTTTCCCATGACCCAGGCACTATCTAGTAGATCTCCGCCCTTCCAGTTGTAGTCTTGCCCTGCCTGGGCTGTAGTAAGGCTTTGGGCCCCTGTCTATGCTTGAAGCAGGAGACAGGTGCAGTAAACTTCTGTAAACTGCTGGAGGGAGGAGTCAGGTCTGGAGAGGAGCTCATAGCTAGATGTGAAGACTAGCGGTGGATGTGTAAGCTCCATGCTTCCTTCCCCAGTGAGTGTTCGCTCCCTTCCTTCCTCCCTCCTTCCCTTCCTCTTAATTTATCTGTTATGTGTGTGTGTGTGTGAGAGTGCTGGTGGGCAGCACTCCTGTAGGCCAGGGGTCAGCTTGCAGGACTCCTCTCCTGCTTCCTTGTGTGGTTTCCCATGATGGAACTTAAGTCCTCAGGTTGCATTCCAAGCCCCTTTACCTGCTGAGCCATCTCATCAGCTCTAAGTACCATTTCTCTTGGCCCTTAGGACCATTTCTAAATTGTGAATTTTCTTTGTTTTCGCTAAGTGTGCATGTACGTATGTAATTGTTGTTTTGAAACTGCAGGTTGTGGAGTCATCGTCCTTAAGCTGGGGCACCAGAATAAAAGGCTTCATCGCATGTTTTGCCCTAGGAATCCTCTGCTCACTGCTGGTAAGTTTCCCTTCCATCCACTGCCTTTTCCTAATTTTCCGCTATATTCTTTTCCTTTTGCCCACTTTTCCCTGATGCTTCATTGAGTTGAATGGATAAGGGGCGAGGGCGATGGGAGGCAGGGAGGTCAGCTGTGTAGCTCTGGCAGGAGTGGCGTGCTGTGCTCACATGACATGCCCTGTGCTTCCCCTTCTAGGGTACTTTTCTGCTGTGGGTGCCCAAGAAAGGACTGAGCCTCTTTGCAGTGTTTTACACCCTGGGTAACATGGCATCAATTGGGAGGTAACCTTTTTCTTCTTTTCCCAACCTTGCTATTCATTGGGTGACAAAATATACCCATCATATTTGGGACGGGGATAAGAAGGATGCTTCATTATCTTTAACGAGTTGGAAAGAAGGAAGAGTTTTGGCATATATCACATTCACACCCTCTTATTTCAAAACATCCTATTACTTTAGTTATCTTTCACCTCTGGGAAAAAGCAGAAAATCTGTGACCACTTCTTCACTTGGGAGAGAACTACAGCACAGAGCATTGGAATGGCTTTCCCGAGGCACACGGGATGGCCAACCCTTCCTGTGTTGGTTTCCCTGCCCTTGGAGACTGACTGGATGCAGCTGCTTCTGAAAGCCCTCAGGCAGGCGAGAGGCTGTGAGACTGGGAACTGGTTATTATTGTGCCGGAGCATCCTGGGCTTGAGGGCATCTGATGGGTGCTTTCCGGGGGAGGGCAGCCATTCTGCCTACGTCAAGTGCACTACTACCTGAGTTGATCTCCTTCACCCTGACGCTTCAGCTACACCTGTGCAGATAATGTTCTGGTGGGAAATCTAGCCTGGCCCTATTGGAATGGACTTCAGGAACCCAGCTGGGCCATCCTTCTTTCCCTCCTCTCTCCCTCCCCCATGTTTCTATAAATGGCTTCAGAGTCCTGTGGGAGAAGGAGACTGAGTTTTCCTGTGTTAATTAACTCAGCAGTAATAACACAGTTGCTGTTGTCTTTCTTTTTTTAAAAAATACATCTATTTATATTTTTTGTATATTAATGTTTTGCCTGCATATATATCTGTTTGCCACATGTGTACCTGGTGGCTGTGGAGATTAGACTCTGGCATCAGATCCTATGGTACTGGATTTAGATACAGTTGCAAGCCACCATGTGGATACTGGGAATTGAACCTTGGTCCTCTGCTAGAGCAGCCAGTGCTCTTAAGCTCTGAGCCATCTCTCCAATCCCACTGCTGTCTTTCTTACTTGGCTTTCTTCCTCATCCCTGTGGCTATTTGTCCATACTGGTTGATTTTGTACTCATTGGGTAAGCACCATCACGTCTGCTGGACTCAGACTCCAAAAGACCAGCACACTGGATCTTATTCACCAGCAGGGCAGTGAGATGTGAACATTGACACAATAGATAAGGTGAAGAGAAGCTCTGAGAGATCTGGCCTGTTAGCAGGTCAGGGACAGTTCCTAGAGGAAGTGGTACCTGGACTGCTCTGAGCTTTGTCCATCTCCTTACCTCAGCTACTCCATCATACTCTTTTGGGTTGCTCTACCCCCTCTCTGCACACCACCCCCCTGGCTTTTTTCTCTGACCTATGGAATCTTTGTGTAGAGCCTCCGTGTGGCTCCCTGTTCCCTCTCTGCAGATGGGAGCCAACCTTGGTGCTTCCGAGTATCTCCCAGCATCTCTGTGTTTCTTCCCAGGCCATTTTCTTTGTCTGTGGCCCTGCCTATCTCTTTGCTCCCATTTGTCATTTGTCATCTCCCAGCTTGCTAATTTGTTAAATCCTGGCTCTAATGTCACCTCTTGTGGGAAGCTGTGCTGATGAGTACCTCCTTCCTGGAATGGTGGCCTCTTCCAGGGCTCCATCCATTTGTCTTTATGTGACAGCACAGGTAGCAGTGACTCATGTTGCTCTTGAAGCTTTCTCAGATACCAGCTTTTGTGGGTTTGCTTTGGGCCCACAGTGTGGGGTAAATGTACAGAGTGAGCATAATTATTCAGGTATGTTGCTTACTCCAGAAGAACTCTTCAGCAGGTCTTAATGGACTGATGCCATAGCACAGCAGAGGGACACAGTGCAGGGCACATTGCTATTTCTTGGTGTTACTAGGGCTTTATGACTTTACACAGAATCTGTATAATCAGTAGTTAATGTCATCTGCTGCCACTTGTATTGACTCCCCTGTTTGCCACTTGGGTAGCACACATGATCCAGAAAGTGCGACTGAAACCTGGTGCCTGTCCTTGATGTGTTAGGTGTGGGTATCTGCTTCACTTCACTTGTGATCATGCCCATTAGCTGGCTCTCAGGTTTCCTTCATACAGATTCATGCTAAGGGTGCCTTTAGAATAGATGTGGGCTAAACACTAGCTCTTTGGAGACCTAGCTCTGTGATCTCAAATAGGTAAGCTACCCTCTCATGTTCACATCTCTGATATAGGAACAGTAGCACCCATCACAGAGTTATTGAGGGGCTGAAATGAGTACTGACATTTAGCAAGCATTCAACTATAGTAGATGTTACTCTAATTGTCATTACAATTCCTGAGCTCTTGGTCTGTTTCTGAGGGTAGATGGTCATGGAAGCAGAGTAGCTGCTCTCAGAGAGAGGGTGGTGTGAGTGGTTCACCGTCAGAGCCACATGCACTTACAGCCTGGTTCTTATATTAGTTGGGTGACTTGGTTATGTAACTTTTTCTTCCTCTCTAAGATGAGTGTACTAATTGCCCTACTTCATAGGTCCTTGATGGACTAAATGAGGGCAGTGCACAAAAGATCGGCAAGTCCAGTGCCTGGCAAGAGCCGTTTGTACTAATACTATTCCTGTTATCACCACAGGAGCTCTTGGGGAGGTGGCTGGTGTGCCTCTGTTCTGCCCTTAATGGCTTGAGTGTGTATGTGTTTGCCTCTTAGTACCATCTTCCTCATGGGGCCTGTGAAGCAGCTGAAGCGCATGTTTGAGCCTACGAGGCTGATTGCCACAATCCTGGTGCTGGTAAGAACAGACAGATTTCCTGACAGACTTTGTAGGTGGGAGCCTGTCTTTTCCTTTACTTTTTAATCCTGGGAGTTAAACATGGTCTTATGCATTTGGTGCTTCATAAGTTGGTCCAGGGTAGTCTTGAACCTATTGCCTGCTTACTTCACTCTCCTGAATGCTAAGACTGCAGGTGTATATTGCCGTGTATGGCTGGAGGGTTTTCTTTCTTTTCTTCCTTTTTTTCCCCTCTGTATCCCTGACTGTCGTGGAACTCATTCTGTAGACTAGGCTGGCCTGGGACTCAGAGATCTGCCTACTTCCACCTCCCAACTGCTGGGATTAAAGGTGTGTGCCACTACTGCATGGCTTGGAACACAGAATATATTTTTCTTTTTTGACCCAGTTATCCATGTAGCTGTCAAAATCTTTCCAGACCTCATTCTCTAGATTCTAGGCATAATTATCAGTATTGTGAGATTTGAACTTGATTGGCATACTTCTAATTTTAGTTTAGTTTGTGGGTTTCATTCATTCATACAGTGATGTTCTCTAAGCCATGACTATGTTTGCTATTTATTTACGGGACTCAAAGTGCAGCACTGGACACAGAGAGTGTTTAGGGTGTACCCATTAAGGAGTTTTTTTGTTTGTTTTTGATTTTGTTTTTTGAGACAGGGTTTCTCTGTATTGCGTTGGAGCCTGCCCTGGAACTCTCTTTGTAGACCAGGCTTGGCCTTGAACTCACAGAGATCCACTGGCCTCTGCCTCCTGAGTGTTGGGACTAAAGGCATGCACCACCAATGCCTGGCTTCCCGTTAAGGAATTATAGAGGAGTGCAATGAAAGGTATGCTGGGTGTCTGCAGCAACCATTTTTTTTTTTTTTTTTTCCCAGCTTCAGATGTAGATGGCTTGACAGCCCTCTTGTGGAAAGACTTTCTAAGAAAGGGCATAGGGCAGTGTCAGGTGACAGGTGAATAGATAACAGGCTTCCTAGCTGTGTGACATCTCTTATTGAACTTGGTTCTCATATGCCTTTTCTACTCCAGAGGCTAGGTTACAGAGAGAGGTTTATGGTCAGCTTGAGTTTATGTCTTGAGTGAAAAGATTGGTTCAGAAAGGTGCTTTCATTGGCAGACATTTAGGGAGAATTTAAAAACGGAAGGCACATCTCTCCTTTTCTAGTCTGCATGCATTTTTATTGTTGGATTTCTTTCCCCGACACTATCGTTCAAATGGGTTAAATGCTTTGAACCACATTGTACTAATTCGCGTTTCTTCTTGTAGTTGTGTTTTGCACTTACACTGTGTTCTGCCTTTTGGGTAAGTATGAACTTTAGTCTTCTGTGATCTTTGTGGCTTATATCCCTTGTCATACGATTTCCGGTAACTATGTCTTTTTTTTTTTTCTTCCTTTTTTTTTAAGTGGCATAAAAAGGCACTAGCGCTCATCTTCTGCATTTTGCAGTCTTTGGCCTTGACATGGTAAGTAACTTTGGTCTCCCCCCCCATACCCAGCCCTGCCTTTGACTTGTGGTGGGAAAGGAAAGAAAACCTGTGTGTGGGGGTGGGAAGGTTAGGAAAACACGGAAGCTCTTGAGTTGAAGAGTTGTCAGTAATGCAACAGAAGTCAAGCTTCAGAAGCCAGTCAGTTGACCCGGCCCACCGTCAGTAGACAACATTAGCGTCTTGAATGGTCACCTGAGGCCTCTCGCCACAGCATTTTTGCTGAACTCATGGTCAGTTGTGAGATGTACAAATATTACTCAGCTACTCATGTCCGGTAAGCACAAGGACAATGAAAGTATCCTAAAGGCAAGTAACAAGAGGCCAGAGAAGGGTGCTGCTGAGAAAGTCAGTGATTGTGATGGAGGTCCATTCGGTGGAAAGACAGCAAAGGCGTGGTCCGCTGAGATGAGGGAGCAGGGAAACGAAAACCCATGTGGATGTGGGGCAGCACCCTCACTGGAGGCAGGCAAAGGTTAGGAAACCATAACTTAGAGGCCAAGTACAGTAAAAAAGGTGACCAGAGATACGGCTTTTTAAAACCACGAATGGAACTGTAAGTTCTTGGCTAAGTAAAACATGCAAGGGAGAGGAGTGGTGGCGTGTGTTTGGTCCGAGGCATTTCTGGGTTACTTTGCAAGTTTAGTACATGAGTAATGATGCCTGGCAGGATAATTTCAGTACAGTGTGACTATTCTATTTGGGATAAAAATGTCTGCTAGAATACAGACAAAAGGGAGGCTGTGGAGTTTTAAATAAACTCTGGTCAGTGAATACCTGGTTAGTAGAAATGGGTCTTGGGAATGTAAGCTTGATCCCATCTTCCTTTGGGAACTTTCACCTTCTGAAGAAATTCTCTTGTCAAACTGCCTTTCAGATGTTACCATGTTCATAAGTTGAGCGGGTATGTGTGGGATTGGGAGGTATAGAGAAGGATGGTGGCCTCATTTTAATATGAGATACGTTTTGCTAGTAGGTCCTATAAGAGCCTGGCTTGATAGCTTTGTTTCTCCTCTGGCTTTCTTCTGGCTGTAGAAATTAGTATCTACACACACATGGTTCTTTTGCAAGCCAGTTCCAAGGAGTCAGCATTCCTCTGGGCCCAGGAAAATGGTGATTCCCTTTGAACTGATTCTTAAATGTGACCAACTTAGCCCTTGACAGGCACACAGGGCAGGTGCCTCCCCTGCGTGGTTTTCTTACAGGCAGAGTGGCTCCACTGTACCAGGGTACGCATGCTCATCTGTAGACTGGTAGGCAGTGGCTTTTTTTTTTTTTTTTTTTAAATTAGTGGAGCACATAGAACATTGATCTCAATGGGTTTAAGTTACATACTCTTGAGAATTTATAAAGCATTAGGTCACAACTGTTGAGGATTTTATTTGCAGTTTCTATAAATTGGACTCTTGATGCTGTCTGGGCATATGGAATCTGCCCGTTCTAGCAGCACTGTAAGCAAGGCTGGGGCCAAAGGGGTTAATGTTACATGGGCCATTTGCACTCTTCTCTACTTACAAGACGTGTTTACCTGATTGTGTGAGTGCAGGCAGGTAGAGCCTCAGGGCTTTCTACCAGGGAGTTTTCTACTCCATTCAATTTGATCTTTGCTTTGTTTTTCTTTGTAGGTATAGCCTTTCTTTCATACCATTTGCAAGGTAAGACTAAATATGTATTTGGAAATAGGGATCCTTTGATTTGTGAACCATGATGTGTTTACATAGGACTTTTCACTTTTAAAAAGATTTATTTTTATTTTAATGTGTAGTTTGCCTGTGTGTATATTTATTTCCAGGTATGTGCATTACTTGTGCAGGTTTGTTGAATTCCCTGGAACTGGAACTAATGGATGGTTGCTAGTTGCCATGTGTGTGCTGGGAATTGAACCTGAGTGCTCTTTAATTGCTGAGCCATCTCTCCAGCTCTTGCATGTGGACTTCAGAGATTTTAGTTTAGTTGCAGAAAGTACATGTTATTCTGTTTGTCTTTACTAAAACTCCTTGATCTAGTTAGATACAGGTCAGGTATCTGCTTTATGGATTACTGTGATAAGGGTCATGGTTCTCCTGATCTCATTATTGAGCTAGTGATGTGTTGGCCAAACTCTTGAGTTCCCAGAGTTTGGGGCATTCAGCTCCAATAGAAAGGACTCCGATGCACACCAGTGTTGCTTTGAGGTGATAACTTGACAGGTGATCAATGTAGTGTAACTAAAGAAGAGCAATGGGGTCCTTAGAGCCTGCTTGTTTTCCTACAGGGGCTCACACAGGGAAGAGTTTCAGAAGAGTCTAGAGGGAAAGCAGGGTCAGGACGGGAGAGGCCAGGACCAGCGCGTTCTAGTTAGCAGTGTGAACTAGCAGTGTGAGCTTGGTGACTTTACCAACCACCAAGACCTCAGATGAGACATTAATAAGTGGAATACGTGGGGCTGGTTCATCCCCAGATGCTGGGAGTTTGTTAATTAACAGTCACAGGACCTTTGCTCTGATTCCATTCTAATGCAGCCACTTGATTTTATTCTTCTCGGTCATCTACTAAATAAAAATATTTCCCATCATTATGTTGAGGAAATGAAGAATCATGTGGAGGCTGGGAGAGAGGGAGGATGTTATATCTTGGGCATTGTAGATCTGCTGCTGATGGTGATCTGAATGTGCTGGGGAAGCAAGGCGAACAAGCTCATAGAGCATCCCTTTGTGCATGGGGGTGTAACTGTTGTGAAGTGCGCCTCTGGGGCGGGGAGAACTTATTCGGAGAAGGGTATGGGTAGGAATTTTCCCAGGAGCTAGCTTGCTATGTGAAATAAGCATTTAATGAAGCAGTTATCAATTTGGCAACAATTTGACCATATCTTGTAGGTCCCTAAAGTACTTACATAATTTACTGGGCCCAGCAAAAGTGACTACCCCTTAATGATCTCAGTGTGGTCTGTGATTGGCTGACATAAAAGTGTAGCAGCATGCACTAGTCCCCAGGGCCAGTCTGCATGGAAAGTGGGCACATCCCTCCTGATGGATGGGAAATTAAAACTCCAACATGACCAGTAATTTGCCCAGGAGAAAACTGCTAAGAAACATCAGCACTGCAGTTTGATGAGTGGTTCTGACCTCACTGTTTGCCCCTTCAGCAGCATGGAACCCTGGGAAATGCTCAAGAAAGGTCTTTGCCATTGGGAGCCTCTAGGGTGATAATGTCCCATTCATCCCCATGTTTTCCATTCCTAGGGATGCTGTGAAGAAGTGCTTTGCTGTGTGTCTTGCATAATACCCTGCCAGTCTGCAGAGAGCACCATGGATGGAAGCTGGTGGACAATTTGTAAATACCTTCTGAACTCTGTCTCACAGACTTGTGCCTTTCACTTGCAGCAATGCATTGCTTGCAATTTGGACGTTTTGAGGGTTGCCCATGGGAGCGCTCATGAATCCTAAGCCCTAATGTCTGTAGCACAGTGTGAGGTTCTGGGGCTAGTGTAGAGGACTCCTCCTCGTGACCATCATCCTCTCTGGATGGTGTCCCGCCGAGTTCTCTCTCACACATCAGTCTTTGTTTAGTAGCAGTGGATAAGCAGCAGGAGCACCTGATTGCCAAGTAGCAGCAGGAATGTCTAGTAGGGATTATAGGGGTTCAGCAGGAAGTAGAATTTTGAAGATTTGCCCCTCACCAAGGAAACCACTGTCACTGCCTCACACAGCATCAAGGCATCTTCCCTGGTGTTTGAGAACAAGTGATTCTGCCTTTCCTAAGAGCCTGGAGAGCCTGTCCTGGATACGTTGTTACTTCCTACGGATGGCACCATCTTGCTGTTCTCAATCACTACTGGCAATGGAATGTGTTTTCTAGTGTTCATTGTGGATTCTTTCTCTTGCCCTCACCTTCCCATGTCTCTTGTCTTGTTACCTTGGGACACTGCTTGACTGAGAGTTAAGTAGTGCCCTGAATCACTATTTGCTTTTGGACAGGAGCCACCAGAAAGTGAAAAACCTTCATGTTCCCTGCTCTGTTTATTTTTCTTCATTATTTATAAATGTTTACTTTTGCTGATTTTATTTTCCGTTCTTCTTCGCTGGAGTTGGGCCAAGGAAAGTGCATGGGAAGACAGATCTCATATGGGGCCAGCAGGAAGTAGGCGTGCCTGCCAAGCATCTTTTCAGTGCTCCAACATTGGCACTCAGCCTACGCTGGACACTGGAAAGACACCAGCCTGCAGGTGGTCATGTCTCAGCCTGATGCCTAATCATACATACAGTGTTCTTGTGTTGGTGATCTTACCTAATACTGTGTACATCACTGTAGACGCTACCATACATTATCTCATTGAATAGTCACAGGGACTTCTAGGCAGGAGATACTGCCTTCATCATCATAAGCTAGTAGCTGCCTTAGATGCTCCCACTAGCAGGGGCATCAGTGAGGAGGCTCTGGGTAGGAGATAAAGTCTTGGATAAAAGGCTTTTGGGTCTAATTCCTAGAGCCTGTGGCCAATTTACTTGACTCTGGACACATTTAAGCAGCTTTTTGGACGACTGTCTCCCAGTATCTTCCGGACTCCCAGGTTTTTTTCTTCGGTTGCCTTATCCTTTGGTTGTTTCCTTTCCTGCTTTTATTGGACTCTAAAAGGAAGAAATCCACGTCGAATTTACTAAAGTCTCATACCAAGCTAATAGTATCAATTAAAAGCAACTTTGTGAGGGAGGCTGAAGTGGAGGATCAGGGCCTCTGACACTGGCGGGTGGTGGTATGTTTGCTCTTCCCACCCTTCACACTCCCCAGTTCGCTGACTGGCCAGAGGCACCACGTGTGTGGGGAATGAGGGAGACTAGTGAGTGGCCCGTGTAGAGGGGAATGTGGTGCTCATCAGGATCTTTCCAGGTTTGGGTGCCTCTGGCTTGAGTACTGTCTTCCGGGCTGTGGTCTGTAGGGTGCTGCACTCAGGACCATTGTGCCTTCTGGAACAGGAGTAGCTTAGGGTCCCCTTGCTCCCCCTCCCCAAGGCTGACTATGGGGCCTGCTCACTGAGTTCTGGTTCTCTTACTGTCTGACTGGCTTCCCTTTTCACAGACCAAGCCCTGAGGAAGCCTTTGTCTCTCCTGCTCCTCCGTGTGGCTGTGCTCAGACCCAACTCCAAGCATCCTCTCTGGGGAAGGGTGAAATACCATTCCCAGCTCAGCATTTTCACCACAGAAACTGTCTCAGTGCTGGGGTGCCTTTTGTGGGTGTGTCTTAAGTGCCGTCTTCCATCCACATAGTTACTGTAGGCTGAGAGAGTAAGAAATGAAATCAAGAACTGTATTCCACATACAAATTACTTTTTAATGCTCAATTAAAGTAGATAAACAGCAGCTGGGCAGTTTCTGGAGCAGACGTAGAGGGCTAGGCTGGTTTGGCTTTTGTTTTTGACATTTCCACAAGTGACAAGTGTTGTAGTATATGGAACAAGGCTTGGTGAAACGAATTGGGCAGCTAAGGTGCATCCCATAGCTGTGGATTTCCTTTCCCGTGGGCACCTTCTGCCCACTCTTCTGATTTTACTTTCCTCCGATAGCTTCTCATTAGAGTCAGTTACATCCACTTTAAGTTCACAACCTAGCCTAAAACTTATTTTCAGTTAATTAAAGGAAAAAGAGCGATCAGTGTTTAGATCAATATAAAGATGTTTGCTGGACTTTGTAGTGGTTTTGTTTTGTTTTTAATGTCCAAGTTTTTTTTTTTTTTTTTTTTTTTTTTTAATGTTTGGTATGTGCTGTAGCTTACAGATAACATCCTTTTAAAAGTGAATGACCCTTCGCTGAAATTCAGTACAAATACACATTTGTGTAACTCTTTGTATCTAGAAGTCCAAATTGCTTAGAAAGTTTTATTTTAAAGGGTGATGGATGGGTAGCCCTTGAAAGTAGCCACTGCTTAAGCTTTGCCATCAGCTAGTCAGGTTTCTGTTGCAGTGTGGTAAATGGTAAGTAGCAGAGTCTTCATTAATATAAGCTGACAACATAAAATCAAAAGCATCCATTCTAGTAGGAGCTGGTAACTGACAGCTAGACTTGGACATGTACAAGTGATTTTTTGCAGGTTGGTTGATCTGAAACAAGAGAAAAATAGGTTCAGTGGATAGAAATTCTATAAGAGATGAGAGAGGTCAGCCCATGGAATCATAACAAACAAAAATGTATGCTATGTACTCAGAATAATGCCACTACATGTAATAGAGTGCTTGCCTAGCATGCATGAAGCCTCAGATTCAATCTCTGAAAATACAGACATTGGCCATGGTGGTGCATGCCTGTAATCCCAGCACTTAGGAGGTAGAGGCAGGAGTATATTAGACCCTATCTTTAAAAAAATTAGAAAAAAAATCAAGTGGTCTTATGTTTGGGTTCTTGTACATGGCTCTTGTCTGTTAAATGTCTAGCTTTTTTCCTGACCTTTTCCATTGTGTTTGCTTAACTTGAATAAGGGAAGGAAAGAAAATAGCCCCCTGAACTCTGTCCTTTGCAATTGTATTGTGAAGTTGATAGTGAGGACATGCAGAAGCCTATAATGGAGGCATTCCTATCCTTGTGGTTTTGGGCACCTGGTTATGTTCCCCAGCAGTAAAACCAAATCCCAAATCCCTATGGTGGATTTGTATGTCTTCAGAACAATGTACCTGTTCTAATACAGTGAACTTTAAAACTTTGTTAAAACAAATGAAACCATTTTTATAATTGTGTAGATGTATTTGATTTTGAATGTTATTGATTGCATAACTGAATTTTTATATCCAAATATACATTTTTGAGTACTGCCTTATCTGCCTTGAGGATCTATTTCATATAATGTTTTCTTTTTACTAACTTATTTCAAAGTGAAAGAGTGTCTCTAGAGAGAGAGCTATCTCTCCCTTTCACTGTTATTGTTTTCTTTTTCCTCCAATAAATTGTAGCAGTGTCATGATCTTTAGCAAATCTAATATTGTCTCTTCTTCATGTCTGTTTCTCTGGGACTCACTGAACCAAACAACTGTAAGATGATATCTTAGTTTGTGGTTCACATTGTAGGTATGTTAAACTTCCTTCCTACACACACACACACACACACACACACACACACACACACACACACTATATTATCTTTTTCTGAAAGTGGAGCTTAACATTGATCCAAGGACCACCAGCATTGGTCTCTTCCTGACAGTGAATACAGTGTGACCAGCAACTTCATGCTCCCACTACCGTGATCCCCATCCCCTCAAACCATGAGCCAAGGCCAGCCTTTCCTTGAGGAAGGTGCCTCCGGGCAACTATTCTGTGACAGCAGTGCTAAAAGGAACCAACACACAAGGCAAAGTGGCTCTCCAAAAGATCACATTTCATCTACTGAATCCAAAGATCCTGAAATAGGTAAACTGCCAGGTAAGATTTCAAAAGGTTGCTAGGGAAAAAGAACAACTCAGAAGACAAGAAGAAATTAACATGGGGTTCTGGAGAGAAAAGGAGAAATACAGAGGAAAAGGTCAGCAAAATGGACAAGAAGATCAGAAACACAGAAGGGATAGCAACAAGGAGGAAAAGTTAGTAAGGAAATTAAAATCTTGGAAAGCAAAATGTTAGAAATGAAAAACTATAAAACAAAAAACAAAACAGTGTAATTGCCACAGGATGGACCAAGCAGAAAAATGAATATTGGGGATGGAGGACAAGATTGAGGAAATACTTCATCTAAACAAGATCTACAGTGTCCCATAACTCAGGGCTATAATTAAGATGCTGAAATCTAAGAATCTATAGGATGGAAGAAGATAAACACTGAAGGCATCAACAGCCTATTCAATGAAGTGCTAGCAGAAAATCCTAAAGAAATAGACAGCCAAACACAGGATACTTAGAAAACCATAAACATCATCAGAGAGCAACCTCTTCATAGTAGTCCAGGTAATAAAAACAAAGCAAACAACATTAAAATCTGTAGAGGAAACACCAGCCCACCCACAAAAACAAAGACACCAGAAGAACAGCAGCGCCCTGGCCAGCAACTCTAAAAGCCAAGAAAACATGAGATGATATATTTCAAACACTGAAAGTAAATACCAACCAAGAGTGCTGCAGCCAGGTGAGATTGTTTGAATGAGAAATGTCCCTATAAATCCCCATATTTGAGCACTTACTTGGTGAGGGTGATGTTTGGGATGGGCATGGAACTTTTAGGAGGTAGAAACTTGTTGGAGGACATATGTCACTGGGGACAGGCTTTGAAGGCTTGTAACTTTTACACTTCTTATTCTATATTTCCTGTATGTGGAGGGAAGTGTGATTGGCTAGCTTTCTGGTGCTCCTGTCATGCCTTTTCAGCTGTGGTGGACATCTAAACTCTTCAAACCATAAGCCAAAATACTCTTGTTTAAATTGCTTTTGGTAAGAGTATTTTATCACGGCAACAGAAAAGCACCACACCACACCTTTTTTAAATGGTGGAAACATAGGACATTCAAGACAAGCAGAGAGTAAGGCAGTTGTTGATCATCAATCCACTGCAGAATTAAATACTGAACACAGAGAAGGAAGGAAGTGTCAATCATGGGATCACAGGGAAGAATAAATGTCATGAAAGGACTGATAAACAAAGGAGAGCTACCAAGGAGTCTATCATGTCCTACACAATAAATCAGGAAACACCTCTATAGAGAATAAGGTAAACAACAAATACTAATCCAATCAATAATAACCTTAAATATAAATGGCTTCAACTTCCAACCAAGAGACCCTGACTAACATGACTTAAAAACTAGATCCAACTATTTGTTGTCTTTAAGAAAAGTACATGGATGGACAAATATGGAAAATGTCTATAAAAAAAGGAAATAGATGAAGATCCCCCATGGAAGGCCTCACTCCCTGAGGAGCAGATAGTGGATGGGATGGGGGTTGGAAGAGGGACAGGGGAGGAAGGGAGAGTGAGAGAACTGGGATTGACATGTAAAATAAGCCTGTTGAAAATTTAAATAAAAAAAATTATATATATATATATGTATATACATATGTATATATGTATATATGTGAAATGGAAGCCAAAAAGAAGCTGGAATAGGCACAAACCAAAATTAGAAAAGATAAACAAGGTCATTACATATTAATAAAAGGGATCAAGAAGTTATAATTATAAATTCATGTGCATCCCATATTGGGGCTCCTAATTTCATAAGCACTAGTGGGCATAAAAGATCACATAGGTCCTAACACAATGATAGTGATTTCAATGCTCTAGTTTAATCTTCAGATTGACAGTCATCCAAACTAAAAAAAATCAAAGAAACCTCAGAGTTAAACACTACAGGTTAAATGGATTTAACAATACTATAGAACTTTCCAGGCACTAGATAAAATTACACATTCTTCTCAGAAGCCTTGGGACATCACATTCTAGGACATGCAGCAAATTTTAAGAAGTAGATAAAATAATTTTTTATCTCAAAAAATAAGACTACAAATAAATAGCAAGAGAAACTACACAAATAGAGTAAACAATAGTTTTCTGAGTGACCAGTGGGCCACATAGGAAATCAGGGAGGAAGGTTAAATTCCTAGAATCATAGGAAAACGAAAGCACAACTTGCCAAGAGTCTTTGGGATGTAGCTAAGGCAGTTCTAAAAGGAACATTTACAGCAATAAATGCGTATATTATAAATCCAGAAAGAGCTCAGATGGATAAAAGAACAATTCAGACTCAAAAACAGATGGGAAGAAGTACTGATCAGGGAAAACATGTTTAGACTCAATCAAGCAAAGAGGTAGTTCTTTGAAAAAAGTGAACTAGTTGACAAACTCTTAGACACACACACACACACACACACACACACACACAGAGAGAGAGCGAGAGAGAGAGAGAGCAAAGCAATGAAATTAGAGATATAAAAGGTGAAACAGGAGTAGATTCCAATGGAATATAATCAGTTAGTACTATTTGAAAACATCAAGAAAAAAAAAAAACAAAACAAAAAACCTGGAAAAACTAAAATGGATAAATTTCTAGATACACATGATTTACTAAAATTAAATCAAGAGGAAACCTTAAAAATTTGTAACAGGTGCCAGGTAGTGGTGGTGCATGCCTTTAATCTCAGCACTCAGGAAGCAGAGGCAGGTGGATATCTAAGAATTTCAGGTGGATATCTGTGAATTCGAGGCCAGCCTGGTCTACAAAGCTACGCAGAGAAACCCTGTATCCAAAAAAAAAAAAAAAAAAAAAAAAAAAAAAAATCCTAACAGGCAATGAGAATGAAGCAATAATGAGAAGTCTACCCACAAAGAAAAGCCCTGAGACCAGATAGGCTCACTGATAGAATGGAATCTGCCAGACTTACAGAAGAGCTAACTTCAACAATTTACAGTTAAGTTATCTGAAATAGGAAGGGAAGGAACATTCTTAAACTCATTTTACACAGACACATCATCATCCTGAGACCAATGTTAGATAAGGACACACACACACACACACACACACACAACAACAACAACAACAACAACCAACAAATATCCCTGAGGCACATACATGCAAAATTTTTCAATAAGTTTTTTGTAGACTGATTTCCAGAACACATTAAGATCATACACGTGACAAAGCTACTTTCATTGTAAGGGTGCAAGTTTGTCTCAACATATGTAAACCATTAAGTGTGATTTAATACATAAATAGTCAAGGGCTGAGACTGCTTGATCTTTTCAACCAATACAGGAAGGGCCTTTGACAAGGTCCGGCATCTTATCATAGAGGCCCCAAAAATTAGCAATAGAAAGAGCATATTTTAGCATTCTAATTCCTGATCTTCCTCCCTCCACCCCCGGAGTGCTGGGACTACAGGCCTGGACCGCCATACCTGGCTCTTTTTGTGGTTTTTAGCTGAACATTTTTATGGTTCCAGTTTCTCTACTTGCTCAGCTTGGTAGTGGTGTCACCTCCTGTCTTCTTATTTCTCTCTATTTGCCAAACTTATGATTGATGTGAATTAAAATTTAAATAAAAAAGTAGAGTATAAGTGCTTTGTGTGAGTAAATATTAGTAAAATGTATCCTAAGCTGTACCTCCTAACTCTCTGCCATTCTTTTCATCGGTACGTGTATCTTTTGCACTGCCTTCATATCTCCTTTGTTGTTTTACTTTGTTCTGATTGGCTATTTTAAAACTTAAATTCCACCCTTCCTTTTTGTTTGTTTTTGAGCCAGGGTTTCTTTATGTAGACTTGGCTGTCCCGAAACTCACTCTGTAGACTAAGCTGCCTCAAACTCACAGAGCTCTGCTTGCCTCTGCCTCCTGAGTGCTGGAATTAAAGGGGTGTGCCACTGCTGCCCAGCCCACCCTTCCTATAGTAATGAGAATCATGTACTATTGGAGCATTCTGTAGTAATTACCCTAGATAGCACTACATACATCTTTACCACATCAAGGTACTGCGTTCACTTGTCCCTTATTCTCAGACATTTGGCAGATTTTATTTTACGTTGTCTTCATTTCCTCTTCCCAGTTTTCATTGTTTTCAAGTATTTCCATTCAATATATACTTAAATTTAACCAGGACTGTTACTGTTGGGCACAGTTAATGCAATTTTCATTGTTCCCATTTCTTTCTATTCCTTTGATGTTTTAACTCGAGATAATTGTCCTTTTGGCTGCAGAACATGCTGTGTTATTTCCTGTACAAGTCTTGCTGGTAGAAAATTGTTCTTTAAAAAATTGCATTAGTTTATTTACTTAGCACACCACCTAACACATTTGCTGAATGAATGAAAGTGTAGCTGTGTAAAGGGAGTCTGAATGT